GATATGAAGCTCTCAACCAAGTAGAGTCTTCCTTTGGCAGTACCACAAATTTTGGCCACCATTTTGATTTGAGCAAACATATTGAAGAGGATATTGTTATAAGCACCCAAATTTCATATAACTATCTAGAGACCAGTGAACAAAATGTAAATGGTAATTTATGTTTTTAATTTTTATCTAGATAACATTTCATTAGTATTATCTGTTTATACAATAACAGATAAAAAAATCATCCTGTAACTTGATTTATTTTCAGGTTTTAGAAATGGTCTTTACTTCAAGCTGTTGCAGAATATAAAAGAAGCAGTTAAAGATTATAAAAGCAATGGCAAAGCTGATAAAAATATACTGAGAATTAGCATTCAGTCTTTGGGGTCTCCTATCTGGATGGCTATGGACTGTGAGGAAGACTCCCATGAACATTATGGAAAAGATCTGATCAAGTTCATGTACTGTCTTAGAGTACTACTCAGGGACACAAGTGCTGTCGCATTTGTCACTATTCCATCACATTTGTTTGATGTAAGTAATTTTCATGAAAAATATTTATGCATTTTTATTGGGGGGTTGATTCCTATAGGTTTGTATAATGAGTATGACTGAGCATTTATTATTATTTTAAACACATATTTTCCTTAACCATTTCAGGATGATCACCTTATGAAAAGGCTCTTATATTCAATTGACAATGCAGTAAAAATGGAATCATTCACTGGATCAAGCAAAGAAACAAATCCGGTTTATAAAGACTATCATGGACTTTTCCACATAACAAAACTAAGTGCAATATATTCCATGGTGCCTTATGTGCCTCCAAGCCTGGATCTTGCTTTCAAACTAAAGAGGAAGAAGTTCTTAATTGAAAAACTGCATTTACCACCAGGTATTTGTGATTTCTATGAACCTTTGAAGCTACACCACTAGATTTTAAGAATTATTTACAAAATTTTAAATTATTTTTCAGAACTTGAAGAAACAAGTGAGAGGGAGCAAGATGATATCACTGCAACACCATACACTTGTGGAGGATTCAAGAAAAAAGACATAGATTTCTAAGTGCTATGTATAGTAAAAATAAGAATAACATCAATTGTTATGAATTTTAAAATATATTGCCTATTTTCAGAGCTTTATATTTTATTCTACCATAAAAGTTTTACCGGCGCTCTAAAGTTAACGATGCGGGCTCTCGTATTCACACATATTTGCGTTGGAGTAACTGAAGCATTAATTTTAAGGCTTGGTATTTCTTCTAAAGTAGGTATTTCGCGCTGTCAAAATCTGCGCGCGCAATTCTTCGCCGAAAACAGCGCGTCAAAGAGCTCCCGCCACAATTTCCAGCTACACAGTATAGAAATACGTAGTTGGTTAGGTTAGGTTGACTTCCTTCCCTTCAAGCGTCACACTCACAACACTTTCTACTAGAAATCATATCCAAGTGATACAAATTAAAACACCTTTCAGACTTTTTGGGAATATTTTCTAGAATCGAATAAATATAAAATATAACTGCAGAAGTAAACACGGTTCAAAGTGGCCGTGGCGTCGCCCGACCTTCTGGAAGTTCTGCGCCGGCTTAAAGAATTTCAAGATTACGTCACCCGACCTATCGGTAGGCCCTTGGGAGCTTGAGCGATTGGAATTTTTTATTATGATAAGTTACGCTTAGTAGCGATTATTTAGAGCTTGGATAATAAATTTAATTATAGTTGTTGCAATTCACGAAGCTTTGCATGTGGTTAATAACATTAATCAGTATAGGTACGCATCAATTTTGTTCAGTCTCTTTGTTTATCAATAAATAAAAATATCATACTAAAATTGCAGAAACATTATTTGTTTGTATTGGTCTGGGTGTTTTCTTTCTATAATATGTATGACGTATGTACGGGGTTCTGTACCTATCGAAAATTGCTATGAGCATCACACGCGGTTACCTGCGTACCTCTGTGCACTCATGGGAGTTTAAGCAGAGGTCCCTAGAGTTTGACTTTGAGCTTTGTTTATAGTCATTACGAAGCAGACTGATGGGAAACTGCACTGTCTTGAATTCGAAAGGGTATTCATCAGAATAACATACCCTATCGACAGGTATTTTTTATAAACAGAAATTGTGAAAAAAAATCGCTGATTTAATTCCTTTTAAATTTATTAAAATGTGTTTTTAGCAGTAATTTAAGGTTAATTTACATTATTAACGTATAAAATCTTTATATTTTTGTTAAATCTTTAAAGATATTCAAAAAAAAAGTCACTTTTACTTACTTTTTTTTAATTTTTCAGAACCTCATAACTTGTGAACGCGCAACTTTGGATGCGCGCTGATAGCGTAGGATTACAGTCAACAAGCCATAGAACAAGGCTTAAGTAGTTTCAAAGCAAGATCTGTCAAGGCTTAGTCGAAATCGACCACTTTATGTTTCATTCCATACAACGAAAATGGAAAATATTTTTTTCCATTCAAACTATTGGTTTTAGAGAAAAACTTGTGCAGCATTTATTCATCAGAATAACGTAACCTATCGATAGGTATTTTTTTCAAATAGAAATTGTGAAAAAAATCGCTATGTCCATAAATCTCAATTTCGCTCCATAGTGCGCTGTCCAATGTCCATGTTCCAATTTCAGTTGTTGCAATGGAAACAAATAATTTCTTCATAATGTCATCTAATCAACGATTTAATACTGTTATCGAAGTTAACGGATATTGGTAATCAGGTCGTGTGATATCGACTCAGTATAATCTAGAAAACGACCTTTAATTAATTACATCACTTAATTCGTCGCTACCATTTTATTTGTTAATCATTTGAAATCGTTTGACTGTGAAAAAAATATATTATTTTTTGTTTGTTTACTTTAACATCGTCTTAAGACGAAATAACATCCTCTTATAAGTTAGAAATGCAAGTAACGACATTGTCATTGAAATATCATTTCCTTCTAATACGAATAACAACATTGCCAAATGACCGAGGAAACATTGAGAAACAGCAAATTATCCCTTATTTTTATTATGCAATCTGCAATCTTATTGTTCGACCAACCCTGAAATACAGATGAAAAATACTAGTAACAGTAGTACAAATATTTCCGTATTACGACACTATTAAACTAAGACTGCCTTACTTACCTAGCTAGAAAATATAGTTACCTACTAATTAACAAAGTTGCACTAAGTAAGGGGGCGTCCATAAATTACGTGAGACAATTTTAGCCATTTTTCAACCCCCCCGCCCCCCTTGGTGAGATTTGGTGAGATTTTGCCTGACCCCCTCCCCCACCCCCCCAATCTCACGTAATATTTAATAAAATGCCTATTTTGCAATGTCTATGCTTCGATTCTATTAGATTTATATGAAAAAATCAGTAACCCAGTGTCGTCGTGCCACGCGCAGTGCAGGGTTCCGTAGGGTAAGTGCGCTAGTTTTCGTCCAATTAGCGGAGTTGCCAACTTTGTGATGCGAAATGAATATCTTAAAATACCCTTACTTGTATGTATCTTATGTCATTTTAGTCCTTATATAGTCTACTTTACGTTAATATTATATGACAATAAGTAAATACCACGGGTTTTTTTATAAAAAATATTTTATGCAAAAGAGGCGATTTCACTAGTTTCGTCCAAAAAAATCAGTTTTCGTCCTAGTGTACGCTAGTTTTCGACCACCGTGTAGAAAAAAGGGTGCAGTTGAATTATTAACTTAAAACCAATTCTACAATACAGTAACTATGGATTGTGGTATATCATTTGAAAGGTAATTTTGTTAGCTTTCAAATGATATCAAAAAGATTTAAATAAGTTTCTTACCTAAATTTAGGAAAATATTGCAATAGGTCGAAGGACAAATGGACGAAAACTAATCTACAGGAATAGCTAATTTTGGTTTTCGTCCACCCCAGTGCTTGCTCATGACGTCATGGACGAAAACACAACAACGTTTAAAGCTGTTTTTTGTTTTCGTCCACATCTTTTTAACGGTTTTTATGGGTTTATCACTGTTAAAAAGTGGACGTAAACTAAAATGTTTAATGTAATAGCAATAAAGATCATATTGGAAGAAAAAACATTGTATTTTGTAGGTCCATTGAAGTAAAATGATTATTAAAAATATTAACTAGGTGTCAGGGTTTCCGTCCACGTGGACGAAAACCAAAATCTTGCAAAATTGTTATGCTAGTATTAGTCCACTTAATTATCTAAGATTTCTATACAAAAGCTTTAATAAACCCTTAAAATAGTGTTTATTATGTTAATAATTAGACATACATGCCAAAAACATTACGTAAAGTAGCTAAAACAGTAATTAAACATACCATGAAAGTTCCCTACCGGCACGTTTTTTTTCTAACTTGACGACGTTTTCCATTCACCTGTGTGCAGCAGCAACTTCCGTACATTTTTTTGGAGTTATTACTTGTCAAATTACATTTTCATGCAGGCAGAACTGTTACTTAGATATTATAGATTGTAACAAGTCCAAACTTGCACGGAAAGTTAGACTTGTATTCTAATTTTCCGTATTTGTTTGTGGCAAGTCGGTCAAATGGACGAAAACAGGAGCTGGACGGAAAACCGGCGCAATTACCCTAGCTTCCCGTCGTTTAGTAAGACAAGCAATTGCTTTAACCTAGGACCAGTTTTTTGATTCATAGTTAAAATAACTAATTGAGAATGTTACTAGGTATGCAAAATCACTTGAAACCTATGTTACAGTTAGGCTTTTACATTTACAAATACATTAGTTTTTATTTCATTCAAAAATACCCAGTAGTTATGATTTTATAGGCATTCAAAGTTCGCTTAAATATTGAGTGCCGCCGACGGTCACGTGACCCCGCGTGACGTACATTCACAGTATNTACCCACTGCCCGAGATCGAAGGAATACAAAGTCACAAAGCACTACAAAGTTATAGTCCAGAAACGTCATTCACAACAACAAGCATAATCTTGTTTCCATAGCCATTCACGAATTTAAAAAAATACAATGACAGTTTTGACAGTTCTGAAATGTGACAACCAAAACGTAAACAATCTTTTGTTGGAAAATATTTTTTTAACTTTCTCAGATCATAAGTTTAATAATAATGTCTAGTTTTCACAAAATAAGTGAAACTCAGACAAGTGTTAGTGGGACGAAACTTAAAAATAATTCAATTTACGTATCGTCTGGGATACCCTCGCTAGATCATATCGTGGGTTCGTATTGTTCAATCCTAACCTATAAAATAATAAACATGTAAAATTCTAATAAAAACATACAATCTTACTATTCAAATTCTCTTTTAGGTGGAGGTTTGCCTTCCGGAGCTATTTTTGTCGTCGGTAAGTATAAAAATAATCTAAAGTTTGATGAGCACTGGTAAGCTTTTCTCATCATCAAATTAATTTGTATTTTATCTGTTTCAGAGGAAGATGTCTTAGGAAATTATAGCAGAATTCTCAATAAATACTTCCTTTCTGAAGGAATAATATGCAAACATGCACTTTTTATTGCATCAGCTGATGAAGACCCACATGAAATTGTAAGTGTTAGGATTGTGATCTATACTTCTTAAAACCCCTTGGTAACTGCGTAGATATTGAACTTATTTCAAATAATACTAATTACTCTATTATTTTATAACTTAATCTTATTTTAGATTAAATTTTTAAGAGATCAGTGTTTTTTTATTATTTTAAATTATCTTCGCAAACAAGCCATTGTACAAATATGTAACACCAAAATTCTTCATGTCTTTATTTGTTTTATGTTTCAGGTTAAAGAACTACCTAAGCCATGTGCACAACCCCTTGAAGATGATATAATTGACACCACTGAGAGGACTGACAAAATGAAAATTGCTTGGAGATATGAAGCTCTCAACCAAGTAGAGTCTTCCTTTGGCAGTACCACAAATTTTGGCCACCATTTTGATTTGAGCAAGCATATTGAAGAGGATATTGTTAAAAGCAGCCAAATTTCATATAACTATCTAGAAAACAGTGAACAAAATGTAAATGGTAATCTATTTTTTATAATTTGATTTGGATAATTTTTGTTACCATAGTCTGTAGGTTTATACTTTATATTATACAATAGCAGATAAAATAATCCAGTGACTTGAATTACTTTCAGGTTTCAGAAATGGGCTTTACTTCAAGCTGTTGCAGAACATAAAAGAAGCAATTAAAGATTATAAAAGCAATGGCAAAGCTGATAAAAATATACTGAGAATTAGCATTCAGTCTTTGGGGTCTCCTATCTGGATGGCTATGGACTGTGAGGAAGACTCCCATGAACGTTATGGAAAAGATCTGATCAAGTTCATGTACTGTCTTAGAGTACTACTCAGGGACACAAGTGCTGTCGCATTTCTCACTATTCCATCACATTTGTTTGATGTAAGTTATTCTCAAGAAAAATATTTATGTATTATTATTGGGGGGTTGATTCTTGTTGGGGACTATTTTTATTTGAAGAGTATGAGCATTTATTATTATTTTAAAAAACATATTTCCTTTACCCATTGCAGGATGATCACCTCATGAAAAGGCTTTTATATTCAATTGACAATGCAGTAAAAATTGAATCATTCACTGGATCAAGCAAAGAAACAAATCCGGTTTATAAAGACTATCATGGACTTTTCCACATAACAAAACTAAGTGCAATATATTCCATGGTGCCTTATGTGCCTCCAAGCCTGGATCTTGCTTTCAAACTAAAGAGGAAGAAGTTCTTAATTGAAAAACTGCATTTACCACCAGGTATTTGTGATTTCTATAAACCTTTGAAGCTACACCAGTAGATTTTAAGAATTATTTACACAATTTTAAATTATTTTTCAGAACTTGAAGAAACAAGTGAGAGGGAGCAAGATGATATTACTGCAACACCATACACTTGTGGAGGATTCAAGAAAAAAGACATAGATTTCTAAGTGTTATGTATAGTAAAAATAAGTATAACATCAATTGTTATGAATTTTAAAATATATTGCCTATTTTCAGAGCTTTATATTTTATTCTACCATAAAAGTTTTACCGGCGCTCCAAAGTTAACGATGCGGGCTCTCGCATTCACACATATTTGCGTTGGAGTAACTGAAGCCTTAATTATTAGTCACCCCACCTGCTCAGCGGAGCGCATCTCCCTAAAACCGGCGAATCTATTCACGTTTGTTGTTTATTCACATGCTCGCGACGCCGCTGTGATGCCATCGTAGTGGCTTTTTGTAATTTCTACATTTCTTTTACAAATACTTTTTATAATAACCTAATTAGAATCTAAAATGAAGTGCAAAAAAGTTTCTAGCGCTAAAGTTCTGTTTGGATTCTTCAACACATTGTTTTTCGTAAGTTTATTTCTTTATTTTCATACGTAATAGTATTTATAGTGTAATATTCCATCTTCGGAATCATTTCATTATGTCATTGATCGTGCATGGTCATGACTTGGTGTAAAAGGAGTTTAATTATTAAGATGACTATTATACTTATAGAGACTAAGTAGTAACATTAAAATATTGTAAGTAATTTCATTTACCTGATTAATAACACTCTGAAACTGTTAGTAATAGTCTGATCTGAATGTTCCCAGACCAATTGTAAAGATTCTTTTGTGTAACAAGTTTTAAAGGTTACCGCGACACAAGCTTCGCTTAGTGCGGTATCCGCTAGATATAAGGACTTTATGTATTTGGTTTTACTGGCAATAAACGTTTTATTTATTTTTTTTATTTTTTTTTATTTTAATTTCGAGATTCAACATTGAGATTTCGATTTTAGACTTGGTTCTTTTAGGCGGCTTTTCGACATCCTAGGATTATTCCTATGTCCATAGACACATTGTTTTCATAATAACCAAGCATCCTAAAAGTAGAATAAGCGCTTATACTATAGCATTTTCTGAAGTAAGTACATATTCGCCATTACACAGAATTACTAGATTTACCACTATAACTGTACCGCGTCTGAATGGGTGTAGGCGAGCGGCTTCCTCAAAGTGGTGTGCGGGTTCCTTCTGCTGATGGATTCTCCGCGGCTGCTGCTGTCGCGGCTTCTGGCATCACCAGAGGAGGGGTTAGAGCACGCGCCGCTGCATTACGTGGCGCTGGCGCTGCTGGCGGCTGGCCTAGCCGTGTGCGCAGCCGCCGCGCTCGGGTGCTGGGCGACGTATATGCCGTCTTACGTCATACTGACTATTGTGAGTAAATTTTTATGAAACTATCTAATTTTCTAGGCAATACTGTGATGCTTACCTTATTTCTGAACATAATTACTTACTTAAGTATTAGAAACAAGGCTTCCACAGAAAGCCTTTCTCGCGCGCCATATAAAATTTGCGTGCGTGTAAAAAGGGAGCTTTTTGCAAAATTTTCTAATAGAACTGACCAGGCGCGGATCCAGCCCTCAAAAAAGGTTGTGGGCACCCCGGCACAGCCACCAAAAATTAGCAAAGTGAGAGTTGGATCACTACATGCCCGGACATACATACATGCCTATCGATCTTATCAATAGATCATAATTAAAACAAGCAAATTAGGGTTGTGGGCATGCCCACAGTGCCCACAACGGTGGATCCGCGCCTGGAACTGACTTCTTGCAGCGTAATACAAGTACATATTCTATTATCTGTGGTGATAGTAATAAAGTGCTACTTAGTAAGAATAAAACTAAATAAAGAGTGCTAAAAAAGTGAAAATTAAGATTTTTACTTAAGTATTGTTTTATTTTATACAGAACAGGTCTTTCGGCATCAATTAAATAATATTAAAATGTCATAGACCTCGCCGAAAATAACTATCGGTCAGTAACATGTAATTAACGTTTCACGCCTCGAGATTTCGAACTCATGCTGGAATGTTTACATTATCTCTACTAAATCCGAACAAAGCGCTATTCACAATGCGTTTCCATATGCACTCAACGGTAGATGGATAATTAGGGTGTCACATTCATTGATGGCCGTGTTCCATAAAACACGAGCGTACGCTAATACCGGGCGTTACGCAATATTGAAGCGACAATGGCCGAACGGTGAAAGGTGTCGGACTGGCCGACTCGAGATCCGAGGAACGCGGGTTCGAACCCCGCCGCGGCTCGACTAGTGAGCCCACTCGTTCAAATGACGTCCACTGCTAGACAAAGGCCTCTCCTGAGTATTTGACTGGTCCCACGTTGCTCGCATCCAGGTAACTTCTCGCGACCAGGCGACCTTCACCAGATCGTCGGTCCACCTAGTCAAGAGGTCTGCCCCAGTGGCCATCAACTCCACGAGCTGTGCCCTGCCCACTAAGCTGCCATTTAAGTTTGACCAATTCTGCGGGCTATGTCGGTTTTACCTATTTTGGTTTTCCTGCGTATTTCCTCGTAACAAGCATAAATATTCAGCTTGCCATGGACGGGGGGTCTAATGAGGATCATTTCGATTTTTAGCTGTGAATGCAGATTTATAGGGCTAAGAAATCCTTAATACACAGTCCAAAAATTTTTGTTCTACGACAAAAATTGACGAAGTTATGGCCAAATTACTAAAAAAGTTCACTGACCGCCCGGCGCGGGGACGATGACGTCATTATATCCGATCCGAACGCTGCCGGCGTACTGCGTGGATAGAAAATATTTTTTTCTAGCCAAACTATCAGTTTTAGAGAAAAACTTGTAATGACATTTATTCATCAGAATAAAGTAAGCTATCGATAGGTAATTTTTAAAAATAGAAATTGTGAAAAATAACAAAAAAAATCCATACGCTCATACGATTTAATGGAACGCAGAGACGCGATTGGGGTCTCCGCGGTNCCATTTTCTCTGTTACCCGGCCTTAAACAAAACTGCCTTAATTATTAGTCACCCCACCTGTTCAGCGGAGCGCATCTCCCTAAAACCGGCGAATCTATTCACGTTTGTTGTTTATTCACATGCTCGCGACGCCGCTGTGATGCCATCGTAGTGGCTTTTTGTAATTTCTCTACATTTCTTTAACAAATACTTTTAGTAATAAAATAATTAGATTCCAAAATGAAGTGCAAAAAAGTTTCCAGTGCTAAAGTTCTGTTTGGATTCTTCAACACATTGTTTTTCGTAAGTTTATTTCTTTATTTTCATACATAATAGTATTTATAGTGTAATATTCCATCTTCGGAATCATTTCATTATGTCATTGATCGTGCATGGTCATGACTTGGTGTAAAAGGAATTTAATTTCGAGATTCAACATTGAGATTTTTATTTAGATTTTAGACTTAGTTCTTTTAGGCGGCTTTTCGACATCCTAGAATTATTCCTATGTCCATTGACACATTGTTTTCATAATAACCAAGCAGCCTAAGTAGAATAAGCGCTTATATTATAGCATTTTCTGAAGTAAGTACATATTTGCCATTACACAGAATGACTAGATTTACCACCATTATAACTGTACCGCATCTGAATGGGTGTAGGCGAGCGGCTTCCTCAAAGTGGTGTGCGGGTTCCTTCTGCTGATGGATTCTCCGCGGCTGCTGCTGTCGCGGCTGCTGGCATCACCAGAGGAGGGGTTAGAGCACGCGCCGCTGCATTACGTGGCGCTGGCGCTGCTGGCGGCTGGCTTGGCCGTGTGCGCAGCCGCCGCGCTCGGGTGCTGGGCGACGTATATGCCGTCTTACGTCATACTGACTATTGTGAGTAAATTTTTATGAAACTATCTAATTTTCTAGGCAATACTGTGATGCTTACCTTATTTTTGAACATAATTACTTACTTAAGTATTAGAAACAAGGCTTCCACAGAAAGCCTTTCTTGCGCGCCATATAAAATTTGCGTGCGAAAAGGAAGGTTTTTGCAAAATTTTCTAATAGAACTGACTTCTTGCAGCGTAATACAAGTACATATCCTATTATCTGTGGTAATAGTAATAAAGTGCTACTTAGTAAGAATGAAACTAAATAAAGAGTGCTAAAAAAGTGAAAATAAAGATTTTTACTTAAGTATTGTTTTATTTTATACAGAACAGATCTTTCGGCATCAATTAAATAATATTAAAATGTCATAGACCTCGCCGAAAATAACCATCGGTCAGTAACTTGTAATTAACGTTTCACGCCTCGAGATTTCGAACTCATGCTGGTATGTTTACATTATCTCTACTAAATCCGAACAAAGCGCTATTCACAATGCGTTTCCATATGCACTCAACGGTAGATGGATAATTAGGGTGTCACATTCATTGATGGCCGTGTTCCATAAAACACGAGCGTACGCTAATACCGGGCGTTACGCAATATTGAAGCGACAATGGCCGAACGGTGAATGGTGTCGGACTGGCCGACTCGAGATCCGAGGAACGCGGGTTCGAACCCCGCCGATGCTCGACTAGTGAGCCCACTCGTTCAAATGACGTCCACTGCTAGACAAAGGCCTCTCCTGAGTATTTGACTGGTCCCACGTTGCTCGCATCCAGGTAATTTCTCGCGACCAGGCGACCTTCACCATATCGTCGGTACACCTAGTCATAGTTCTGCCCCAGTGGCCATCAACTCCACGAGCTGTGCCCCGCCCACTAAGCTGACATTTAAGTTTGGCCAATTTTGCGGGCTATGTCGGTTTTACCTATTTTGGGTTTCCTGCGGATTTCCTCGTAACACAAAGTTGTAACAAGCATATTCAGCTTGCCACGGACGGGGGGTCTAATTGTAATTTATGCAATACAAATTACTAATACATATTTTAAAAAAATTGGCAGTACTTCCTGATAGTTCTGGCGCTTCTGCTGTGCGAGTGCGCGGGCGGCGTGGCGGCGGCGGTGTGGCCGCGCTGCCTCGGGCTGCAGACGGCACGCGGCGGCGCCGTGGGCGCGCTGCAGGCCTACTACGCGCTGCCGGACTATGAGGAGTTCACTGCTGCGGTGGACTTAGCGCAGACTTACGTAAGTATCGGGTAGAAGTTCTTGAGATGTGCATTGCAACTCCTCTGTGGTCTACACTCGTCCATAGAAATGTCTTGAGATGAGTAAGGCCCAGAACAGACGGTGAAACGCAACTGCAACGAAACTGCAACTGCTAGTTACTTTTGACAGTTTGAAACTTTCAAACTGGTCGCGTCATGTGTGGTATCTCAATGGACGCTATGGCAGAAACTTAGTTGCAACTCAAAAGTAACTAGCAGTTGCAGTTTCGTTCCAGTTGCGTTTCACCGTCTGTTCTGGGCCTAACTCTTCGTGGTCTATGGATAGTTGAACACTCATCCATAAAGTCCTGGGTTTGATTCCCATTTGACTGATTCATAGAAAACACGCGTCTATTAAGAATGCTATCAGCGAACGCAGGACGCCCAGCTTCTTAATTTTCTCAGCTTACCCCCTCTTGTAACAATATGGATGCAATAAATTTTGAGTATTGGGCCGACGATTTCAAAACGTTAAAATGGCAGGCAGTGGTTTTTATGAAAAGACGCAAAATCGCGTTTTGTTTTATCACATGTACATACTTCAGGTATCATTCTACAGACAAGCTGACGTATTATTCCTTCCCCAGCTGCGTTGCTGCGGCATGACAGACGCGCGCAACTACGATATGTCAGTATGGCAGCTGCGGCGCCTGGGCCCGCGCGGGCTCTCGGTGCCTCCCAGCTGCTGCGTGCAGCGCGCGCGCGACGCCTCCTACCTCAACCCCGCGCCCGTCAACCAGTCGCGCTGCCAGGAGCTACAGCCCAACCCGGAGTTTCGATACGTGCCGGTGGGTATTCTACCAAAGTTTTTGACTGGTCCGTGAGCTACGGCAAACTGGGTACACCTCTAATCCATATCTGTGGTGTACACCTAGACTCACTATTCCACTGAATTGCTGCGTGAACTCACTCACAGACTCAACCGTGCTACGGTACTAAGTACTCCCTTGAAGTTTCTTACGTCTCCGTCAATCAATTTCAATCAATATCAGTTCAACTGAAATATTAAGTATTACAGACATTACAGATAAAAGTTTGAAAATTAACGGCGCGAATTATTTTTAACCGACTTAAAAAAAGGAGGAGGTTATATGTTCGACTGTATGTATTTTTATGTCTAATCTTGTGAATGATTTTNTATTGAATTTTCTACAACAGTACTGATCCTCATTGTAGATAATTTGTGCAATTGGGGGGCACGGTAGTGCCCCCGCCAAGTCGAGCGCGAAGCAAACACTGCTACAAATTACTAATCCATATTTAAAAAATGTTGGCAGTACTTCCTGATAGTGCTGGCTCTTCTGCTGTGCGAGTGCGCGGGCGGCGTGGCGGCGGCGGTGTGGCCTCGCTGCCTGGGACTGCAGACGGCACGCGGCGGCGCCGTGGGCGCGCTGCAGGCCTACTACGCGCTGCCGGACTATGAGGAGTTCACTGCTGCGGTGGACCTAGCGCAGACTTACGTAAGTATCGGGTAGAAGTTCTTGAGATGTGCATTGCAACTCCTCTGTGGTCTCTTGGTAGTTGAACACTCGTCCATAGAAATATCTTGAGATGAGTAAGGCCCAGAACAGACGGTGAAACGCAACTGCAACGAAACTGCAACTGCTAGTTACTTTTGACAGTTTGAAACTTTCAAACTGGTCGCGTCATGTGTGGTCTCTCAACGGACGCTATGGCAGAAACTTAGTTGCAACTCAAAAGTAACTAGCAGTTGCAGTTTCGTTGCAGTTGCGTTTCACCGTCTATTCTGGGCCTAACTCTTCGTGGTCTATGGATAGTTGAACACTCATCCATAAAGTCCTGGGTTTGATTCCCATTTGACTGATTCATAGAAAACACGCGTCTATTATGAATGCTATCAGCGAACGCAGGACGCCCAGCTTCTTAATTTTCTCAGCTTACCCCCTCTTGTAACAATATGGATGCAATAAATTTTTGAGTATTTTATGAAAAAGGGGAAAATCGTTCTTTGTTTTGTCACGTGTACTTACTTCAGGTATCATTCATCAGACAAGCTGACGTATTATTCCCTCCCCAGCTGCGTTGCTGCGGCATGACGGACGCGCGCAACTACGATATGTCAGTATGGCAGCTGCGGCGCCTGGGCCCGCGGGGGCTCTCGGTACCTCCCAGCTGCTGCGTGCAGCGCGCGCGCGACGCCTCCTACCTCAACCCCGCGCCCGTCAACCAGTCGCGCTGCCAGGAGCTACAGCCCAACCCGGAGTTCCGTTATGTCCCGGTAGGTGTTCTAATAGTAAGCTGTTATATGTAGTTTATGTAGTGTGGCAGCTAGGCTTACTATTCCGCCGAGCTGCTGCTGGATCGCGCGCGCGACGCCTCCTACATCAACCCCGCGCCCGTCAACCAGTCGCGCTGCCAGGAGCTACAGCCCAACCCGGAGTTTCGATACGTGCCGGTGAGTATTCTATGTCTACTTTTACATGTCGGCGTTTTTCGAATGGCAGCTGGGCCTAAGCCTAAGCTCACTATACCAACGAACTGCTGAGTGTACCACTCGCGTGAAGTCTCCTAACTTCAACTCCGCGTCAATCTACCAATCGCGCTGATAGAAGTTGCGGACAAATCCTGAGCGTCCCTTAGTTCCGTTATGTGTAGGTGTTCAACAAATGCACTGTTCTGTTAACAGCGACAGCTGCTATTAAGATACCTACGCCTAGGCTAGTTGTGTGTACTCACCGACTCGACCGTCATCAATCAGTTTAACTGAAATGTTACCTACTGTTGCAGATAGTTTGAAAATGAACGGTGGTATTTTGTCTAATCTTGTTAATATTTCATTTTCAGGGATGCTATTCAAGACTCGAAGACTGGTATCAGAAACAATATCTGGTCTTCATGCTGGGCTTGTTCGTCATAGCGCTTGTAAAGTTGGGCATCTTGTTGAGCACTGTGTACTCGTGCGTTCGCCTGCGGAAGCGGAGGCAGGACATCCGCGCGTTTGTTATGAAATCAATCGACAACAAGACGAACGAGAACATTTACGACGCTAAAATGAGTTCGATGCACGATGAGCCGATCACCGCCAAATACATCCAGCCCAATAACTTCTACAGCCCCCGAGTGCGCAACCCTAGGATTTTTCACAGTAAACCCAACGAGATGATATGAGAGTTAGCAACGGAGATAAATGCTTTAGAGAGAAAACTAGAGAAGTTCTCCGATTACCTTTATAAGCAACAAGCAGATTCATTATTGTGGTGAAAAAAAACTGGATTGCTTTGCTTATAAATGAATAGTGTTCCGATTACTGATAGGTATTGATTGTGGCAGGTAATATAAGATACCACGAAGAGCGACGTAATTTACCAGATGGAATCAACCAAAACGAAAGAATCCAACAAGTTCTGTGCCTACAATACAAATAATGTGCCATAATAATCATCTCTAAAATCTCTTAAGTGTTTTCTCCGTTAGCTTCGTCATGAAATATAATAATCGAATATAAAACTGCCTAATTGATAAAAAAAACATGCTATGCTATAATCTAACTTGGGTACAATTTATTTATATTCTCACTATCGAACAAACAACTTATGCGCAAAGGATTTTGTTTTATTATATTCTAAATAGAACTTCGATAATATTGCGCAATAAATAAGGGAATTCGACCAAGGTTCAAGTCACCCAAAATTACAAAGCATTAGATACCAGTGTTATTACTGTTATTTGATTAAGTTATGTAGTTCATAAAATTTTATGATTATAAACTTTGTAAAAACATTACTTTTGTTTTGCAATCAAATCTAAATTTTACGAATTTACTATTAGTTGTCCATGACGAAAATTGAACAAATTAGTTGAATCAACTTAGGTTGGGTTACGTATGTAAAAAATAAAACTATCCATTCTCAATATGTAATATTATTTCAAAAGAATGTTCAAAAATTGGTCCTAAAGTTAAAACATTGTTAACAATGGCTCTGGAATGTTGTTATCATACACAAATTTCGTAACTATGGATTAACAGAGAGCTGAACCTTTTGCAATACATTCTTGGTTCGGGCGTTTTTAAGATATCTTGGATTCAAGCCATTTAGACATTTTCTTGTTTAAATCATTTTTAAATTACTTAAAACAAATCAGCCAAAATCCACACTATTAAAATCAATTTTTTTTAAATTAAATTAAAAGAACGCAATAGGCTAATCCAAGACATCCAAAGAAGGCCCAACGAGTGTTGTTTAACAACAAACATAATGCAAAACGGTGTACAAGATTATACTACGGTTTTGTATAGGAATGGTATCCAAAATTTACTCTCAAATCATGGAATAAAGGTAAATATATGAAAATCAACATCCTACAAATTCCAGATCCCTCATACCTCTTCCAAAATGATACATGAGATCCTTAACAATAACAATAATCTATATCTTTATAATAATTGATTCTATATTACCTATTGACCATTGAGACCGACATCACAGTATAAACTACTATTATCTTAGGTACAGGAATGATTTTTAATAAACCATAAAATTTACATTATTTTGAACTAAAAATAAAACCATATAATAAATCGGGTCGTTCCCAGGCGGATAGACATTACTGTTATTTAAACTTGAAGCACAAACTATGTTTCCATAACATTTGTATAGGCTATTAAATCAGACAGTTCAAAGATCAAAGAATATAAATATAAAAAAATATCGCATCACCTCAAATATAGTTTCTTTACAACTGCTATTGCCCCAATCGCTTTGCCAGTCGACAAACTCGTATGTCATACACTAGTAAATAATAATCGCAGGTCTTTTGTGCATTCGATCTTAGATCCTATCAACTCTTCAATAAATATACACTAACTATTACCTACTCTGTGGAAAATTAAAGATCAGTCGCGTATAGGTATGCGGGACTGCGTCCTGATGTCGCCTATGTCATAATACCGAACGAATCTTAAGACTACAATAAAATATTTACAAAAGAAGTATTAACAATCTTATGAGCTATAAATACTATGAAATGGATATTTTTACAATAAATAGTCTATAAAACAACGCGATCGAAATTATGGTAAAGACATCGGAAGATTCAATTCGACTACACTATACTTAATATGCCCCACACTACAGAACCACGTTAAATTCAGGTGTAAATTCGTGGTCAATAACTTTGGTCATAACTCCTCGAGCGCCCGAAAGATATGGCGGAAGCCTTAACGAGCCGCTCTCTCCGCGCTACATAGCAGCGTTCAGTTGTCGATGTGTTCGGAAGCACTGTTCATGCCGCTTCATTTCTGACGTATAATACCACTGTGTTTACACTTCCTTTCTTTTATTTTACAATTTCACTTCTGCCGTAACACTGTACGATATAGCAGATTCCAGAAATAATGTCCTAACATCATTTTCTGATATGAAATTATTGAATTTCAAACAGCACGCGAACCGTAATTGGAAGAAAATAGGTTTCGCTTCATGCTCGAAATGAGCTGAACGGTCTACTATTCGACCGGTCACACCGAGTCGCAGCTGCACCACAGAAAAACGAAGAAACCTTTCGATCCGTATTCCTATCACTTTCGCACCTCAGCCTGGAGCCTTATGTCGTACACCGGTAGAGCCGAGATTCAGGGCGCTTAGAGTATATCATTGAGGAAGGAGTTATCGAGCGAGTTGAGCAGCTCCTGAGCGGTGATGGAAGACGCGTCGGCGGAGGGCATGTTGTCGAGGAAGTCCAGGTTGAAGTCGGCCTGCGCGCCGAAGGGCCCGGCGTGCAGCGGCGCGAAGGCGTGCGCCTGCGGGTGCGCCTGGTGCTGCGCCGGGCCCGCGCCGCCTGGGCCCGCGCCGCCCGGGCCCANTGCTGCGCCGGGCCCGCGCCGCCCGGGCCGCCGCCGCCCTGCATCGACATGCTCTGAGACTGCGACATGTGGATGTTCGGCATCTGGGGAAGAGACAATCATTTTAGAACAAAGTTGCTTGGATGGCCAGCTATACAGGGTGTTAGGAAAATGGGTATATGAGCCGACACTAGCCCATGTTAACATGACCATATAAATGGTATGGTGAAATCAGAAATTTGATATAATCATTTCAATTTTTTTAATTTTCATACAAAATAAATTTTATAAAATCCGATTTGTATGAAAATTAAAATAATTAAAATGAAGATATCAATTTTCTGACTTTACCATACCATTTATATGCCCATGTTAACATGGGCTAGTGTCGGCTCATATACCCATTTACCTAACACCCTGTATATTCAGCTTTTTAATACATTATTTATTATTAAACTTTATTCAAGACATAAAATTATAAAACAAATTATATTTGTTCGCGATAAACTCAAAACGTACTGAATGGCTTTTCGTGTGGTTATCATAGGTACTGTTTCATGAGGAAGGTTTTTAAGTATATTTCTGTAACAGACCGAAATTCAGATGGGCGAAGCCGCGGGCTTAAGCTAACATATACCGCATATACGCATCTGAATATCCGTATAATATTAAGATCAACGAACACTAAAATTTACTTAGAGGTCTTAAATATTACGTACCTGTCCTTGAACACTCATCATTTGATTTTGCTGCATAATAAGATGCGACATCGAGTTCTGTTGTTGATTTGATGCTCTGAAATAAAAAGAAGAATATTTTATGAACATAATCGATATATTAAAACCCTATTTAATATTATAATATCGCTTAACATTGATGATGTCCTTCATGCATTTCATATCTCGTGCTGCTATTTTTAATGTTGGAAAAACCAAAACCGCTTCAGTTTACATACGAGTGCTAAATATAATACATTTTATTAATTACAGAGTCAATATTGTAATATCACATTAGGATTATAATATTAATATACTTAAATATTATTTACTAGCTTTCCGCCCGCGGCTTCGCCCGCGTGGAATTATGTCTGTCACAGAAAAACCTTATCGCGCGCGTCCCTGTTTCAAAAACTGGGATAAAAACTATCCTATGTCCTTTCCCGGGACTCAAACTATCTCTATGCCAAATTTCATCAAAATCGCTTCAATGGTTTAGGCGTGAAAGCGTAACAGACAGACAGAGTTACTTTCGCATTTATAATATTAAGTATAGATTTTAATATTATTTTAAAATAATACAATACACTGCTAAGCAAAATATTTATTTAGCACCAAGTCACGTAGGCAAGACCTTCGCTTGGTGCCGCGACTGGTCAGTAGTTTTGCCTCAAATCGCGTAATGTGGCATACAGACTTACGGCTAAATAGCTTATCTATCCGTGAATTCATATAAAATTATTAGTAGTCGTTGATATCGTTTTTCAATAAAATAAAAAATAAATTCATGCCCTATTAAAAAAAAATAATTCATAAGGTTAGGGATAACATATCCTAATCCTTATCGGTCCTCCTAAGTCAGCAGGTATGTGATTCAGATTTGTATGCTTTTTCACATCATAATATGTAAATTTCACCCCTCCCGTGCCGTTCCCATACCTCAGTCACTCACTGAGTTAACCGCGAGACCACAGATCACAGAAACTAAAGGGAGATGTGCCAAAGGGGCGGGGCCAGTGTCGCAGCAATATGCCCAAAAACAGAACACATTTCTGCAGACGTCATAATGTAAACAGTTTACATTGCTTGCGTAGTACTAAAGATTATTCGAACGTTAAGTACCGATACCGCAGTGGATAATGAGCACATATTTTGATTACTTTGTTTATGTCGAACTCAGCGCATTAGTTGGCATCTCTCTATATCATAAATGACTAATATACGGCGGGTTCTATACGAATGTTTGTACATACCTTTGCTGCTGGTGCTGCATGAGCTGCTGCTGCTGCAGCCGCGCCTGCTGCAGCTGCATCTGCTGCTGCTGCTGCTGGCTCATGCCGCCGCCCATGCCGCCCATGCCGAAACCACCTACAAAATACGTTTTTAATTAGTAAATGTTACACAAACATTGTGATATCGAAACAGGTGTTAACGAAGTTTAACGACGTTATTCAACATCTAATGGGGTACGCTTCCTTTTTGTAACCCGCTCGATCCCAGCAGAAATACTTTCGTAGACCAATATCGAGCTGGGAAAGTTATGCAAAAACTGAGGTCATCCGCTCGTATAAGTGTATGTCACCAAAAACATGTCATCTCGTCTTGTATTGTGGTTTACTTTTACATGTAAGTAAATTTAAAAAACCCATGCTATATCCACCAAGATACCTACGTGCTCTGCCTAGTTTAAGACCCACTGTTATTTTTTGTTGTAATCTTGTAATGCAGAATGTAACCTATGCCTATTGAAATAAATATATTTTCATTTTCGTACTCTTTGAATGCCCTCGAAACAACTCACCTTGATGATGATGCGGGAACTGCTGTCGCGCGGCGGCCTGCTGCTGCTGCATGAGCATATGACGCCACTCGGGCGAGTACTGGCGCGCGTGCGGTGGGAACGGCCGGGGCGCCGCCGCCGGGGCCCGCCGCGCGCCCGGCCCGGGGCCCACGCCGGGGCCCACACCCACGCCCGGGCCCACACCCACTCCTGGGCCCACTCCCGGGCCCACGAAGCGCGCCTTGTACTCCGGCGGCGGCGGCCGCATCTGCTGCTGTTGCGCGCGCAACATGTGCTGCTGCTGTTGCTGCAGCATTTTCGCCTGCTGCTCGCGGGATATGCCCGCCGCTGCCACGCCTGGAACATTGCAAAAGTTGTTAATTGTTTGACTATGATTTAGCGGAACCCAGTTGAATGCTTTTTTTCGAAAACTATCCTCATTGCTTTTAATTAAGACCTAGTGCATTGCTATTGCTAGTATACAGTATTATGGATCGCATTGCCCAAACATGAGTCGCCTACTTTGTGGCAAGTTATTTTGTCAAATTGCATACTTCAGAGGTAAACGAATGACGATGTGCATCACAATATGTATGCATGTAAAGTATTGTAAGGATTATGTTTAAGTGGAAGACATTAATGTAAAGCCCAGAACAGACGGTGAAACGCAACTGCAACGAAACTGCAACTTTGTGTAGATTCTGATGAATGATACTGAAACTGAAAGTTTCAAACTGGTCGCGTCATGTGTGGTCTCTCAACGGACACTAAGGCAGAAACTTAGATGCAACTCAAATGTAACTAGCAGTTGCAGTTTCGTTGCAGTTGCGTTTCACCGTCTCTTCTGGGCCTACGTAACAATTGGAGTGAAATTGCCATTTTGGTTCAGACACTTATTCTAATTCTTTCACGAAACAATAGAATCAGAATCTGATGAACCAAATAAATCAATGGGACGTGTAAAAGTGCTTTTTAAAAGCCTACTTGCATTGCATAAATGAATTTTGAATGTGTGTTTCTGTAGCGTGTCTTACCGAGCGGCTGGCCCTGCGCCTGCTGCTGCTGCGGCGGCTGCGCGCCGGGCCGCGCGCGCATGGGCTGCGAGAAGTTCATGCTCTGCGACTGCGACACCGAGTACGAGTCGCACCCATTGCCTGGAACACACAATACACGTTACAACGGGAAAATTTACCATAGGCGTTCTCAGCTATAGTCTGGTCTGCGAGCACGTAGAATTTTGTCCAATGACCCCAAGCTACCCATCCTTCTCGCTCGCGCGTAATTATGTTGCTATCGCGCTCGCACACTTATTGCAGGTGCCAGTCGCACAGTCGCGACAGCAATATAATTACGCGCGAGCGATAAGAATGGGTAGCTAGGGAATGGGTCATTGGACAAAATTCTACGTGCTCACAGACCGGGCTTTAGAAGGAGCACCTTATAGCCCAGTGCAGTGATGGCCAAGAATAGACCGCGGTCTACCGGTCGACCGCGAAGACGATTTTGGTAGCCCGCCAGAGTTAAATAAACTGAACAGAATGATTGAAAATTAAAAATGTTTTATTTCACTATTTTCAAAGTTTTGGGTCTATCTGTCACCGTGAGGGATAGCAACATTCAAATCATCGGATAACGTTTTTCGGGGTAACCGCGCTGGAGATCAAATCCGATTTTTAGACCAGCTTTGGCTTGGATGAAATATAAAGTTTGTAGGAACATCTCATTGCCAGGGGGGAGGGACAGCTGCTCTTCTCAGCCCTATCCTTGGTACCCCCAAGTTGACTACAACAAATAGCTTCTGAAGTTTAAAACAGCCTTTGCCAGTTTCATCATAACAACGCTACTTGTGATTGCAGATTCGAATCCACTAGGGAGAATTTGAAATGAACTCGAGTATTTACTCGTTCTTCTGGAGTCACGGATTTAATGAAGCATGTTCTGTATAATTAGGTATATTCAAATAATGTTTCATTGTTATCTTGTCGCCTAGTGATATACATAAATATCAACTCTTGTCGATATTATGTAATACAACTGTTAAGTTTGGGGCGAGGTCTAATTACCTAGATTGTTAGAACAATATTGTCTTTTCTTTAGACTAGATTCATTGATTTTGTCTATTAATCGGGTGTATGGCAAGCAAAGTGTGCTGTCTGACGACATTGTCGGTACAGCATAAAGTTATATCGACAGGTGTTGATGTGTAGCCAGCCACAATTACATAAAAATTATCCTCATTTCCATTTTATAATAAAACGAGGACAAATAAATAATATTGATTACGGCTATAATACATCATAGTGGCCACCTACTTTTATATCATTACTTGCTAAGATATTCGAAGGAAAGGAAAGGTTTTATAAAATAGATCAATTAATTAATTTGTTTATCTCCAAATACATAGGTACTCTGCAATATTGGGACTTGATTAGAGGCAGTAAGTTTGAGTAATCGTTACAATAAACACGTCGCGAGTGTCATCCCCTCGCGTGCGGCGGGTTGGCGCATTCTCGGCGAGCGTCAACCTCGCCCTCCCCTCCCGGCCGCGTCACAACTACTACCACTATACGACTATACGCTGCTATGTTGCCATGCGACCTTCCGACACACGACTAATACTTCACTAGCAGACCATGCGCTAAACTAATAAGCTTTATCAGCAGTAAACCAGTGTCTCTGATTACCATCTGATTTAAACATAAACATTCCTTGAGAATATGTTAACAATTATCTTACGCGTATTGCTATACGCTACATGCTAACATGATTGTGTTTAAAACAAAAACATAGTGTCTACTTTCCTGAAAGAAAGTAGATCCAAGCATTATCATATACCAAATAAATATCAACTCTATGCTGCTATGTTAACGAGAATTCAAAGTTTCCGTAATTGATTCACAAAGCCCACCCGAGAACAATTCTGGGTATTCCAACTGTTGGTAATAGTAGGGATATCTAAACAAAATAGGCAATCCACTGATATGCCGAGTAAGTGTTGAAAATATTCCCGGTTAAGGATTGAATCATCAGTTTAGCGTTTCATCGGAATGACTGCGTAGATGTGTGGGTGAACACGATAATACTTTCACGCGTACACCAACATACGTGGATTGTGGATCGGTGATCGCATCGTCACTACACTTCAAGCCTGTGCTCGTCTCCTTTGGACGTATAATGGAATGTATAATAATACATACACAATACAACAGTAGCAGTAGCTTAATCAACTCTATATTATTAGCTATGATGTGTAATTGTTTCGTAAGTTGCTAATTATACGTTCCAAGAATATACAATGTAGGTACCTACCTAGTTATAAAGAAATCATCATCACGCCAATTTATATCCTGCTTGCTATTACGAGCATTATAAAAGTAAAAGTTTCTATTTATGACTTACACAGTACGCTGAAAAATATTTACTGTTGACGATAACGTATTTTTCAGGCAAACTGAAAACCACGCGTATGACGGCGGTGGGTGGGTAATCGCTAGTTTATCGCACAGTAGGTATCTAACGCGACATTAGTTAGCACTTGTTTAGCACCTTTTACACGCATATTATTCAACTTAGTTCACGGTCGTAATTCGTAACATGGTTTATTGTGGCGTTTACTGTCAAGGACCTGCCTACCTTGAAGTCTGGACTGGAGTTATTTACTTAGGCTTTTTCTAATTTAGATTACGAGATAATGTAGGTACCTCATGCCTGATAATGACAAAACTTCAATTCAATTATCAAGTACATTGTCTATTTTTACAACTATTCAAAGCAAATATTATGTATTATTACTATAATTAGACAGCTATATATCATAGAGTACCATTAAATTATACAGGCATACAATGTAAGCAATTACACTTACGTATTTTCAAACAAAGATACATTAAACAAATGAGCATGGCACTCCAATAGGTAATATTGCGATGAAAAATCAATAGAGTTGTTTGAGCGACACTGTGACCTATCCTGGTAAGTAACAATATTACAGTTATAGTAAAATTATGCTCGGACTTCAACAAATTCCACGGACACCTCTGAATAACAACGTATATTCCGAGACAATCCTATTGGGTACATAGTTGACACCATAACCATAATCTTAAGGTACAAATTCTCAAAAAGAACCCACAATTCTATTCCTAAAAACTGATTAGTTTTCAATCATCCGTAAAAGAATTATAAGATTTTTAACCTTCGTTGAAATTGAAATCAGTAATAAATAGTAGATAAGTAAGTTAAGTCATGTCATAGCTTTTCCCAAGAAACATCTATCCATGGAAGAGGCACATTTTGACAGTTCATAAAAAGTAGTATGTGAAATGACTACGGGACTATTTCCACCTCTCGTTCCCACCGCTGCAACTCCTGTGTGGCCAGGATCTACAGCTTGACCGCCAATAAAAACCCAACCAGTGAAGGTCAAGATGTGAATTGACTAGGTAGTGTTTATTTTTTATGTTCTAAAGGGTGTCCCAAAAAGTAGTGTCAAGCCGAAGTCCAGAGGTAGAGCATCAGTGGGGCTACCCGAATTACCTCCATGTATGTCAGCGATTTTTAATAGTTTTCGAGCATTGTTTTAATTATTATTACATTAATACTAGGCCTAGCTGATTCAGAATTATTTACATCCATAACAAGAATGTAAACTAAAAACGTAAAAAATTCTATATGTTGTAAAAAAAATCATAACTCGAAAACTATGAAAAGTCGCTGTGATTGGGGTAGCCCTAGTGATGCTCTACCTCTGGACTTTGGCTTGACACTATTTTTGGGACACCCAGCCCAGTAAGGTATTCGAGGTCAGTAAATTACCTTGATGATGCTGTGGTGATGGATTCCCATGATGCTGGAAGCTGGCGTACATGCCCTGCTGCGCCGCCACCGACACGTGCCCGCCGCCGCCCGCCGCGCCGCTCACCTGCATGTGCTGAGCCGCTGACACCTGCCGGACAGTGTCAAGTTAATGCTGAACATTTGGAGGGACATTTAGATGTTCAGACTCATGAAGTACGCTGAAGGTATTCAGAAAATCTACTGCATATTGACACTCATGCCCGTTTTCACCATCTATCCCTATTTTTTAAGTGATGGTAACACATAACAAGAATTATGTTTTCAAAAGGATCACTTAAAAATTTGGGATTGATGGTGAAAACGGGCATTAGTTTATCAGGCGCCCAGAACGCTGCGCTGCAATCTGAGCGCTCTATAAAATTGTATGGATTTTTTTTTTATCTAGCGAATCATATCAATTTGATTGGAAAACGAAAAGAGCAGTTTTCGGGCGCTTTTTTTAACTAATCCAGTTTTAGCATCTGCGATCAGCAGCTTAGTAGCATTTTTGAAAATCAATTGGTTGCCATACAAACACTTGAATACTTAAATTAAGCCCTAGTCATGGCGATCAAAGCCGCTCAACTCACGACTTCGAAACCGTTCTAGAGGGCAGTGTGTACAGTGTGTACATAGTCAAAACGTAATGCAGCATCTATGTAGTTAGGTAATAGCTTATAGGTATACAGAATCGCTAATAGCCTAACCAATAATGCCTACTACTTACATAATAGTGTATGGTACCTACAACAAAGTTATTTAGGAATGTATTGGACACCAATGTCATTCCATGCAGATGTGGGCTGACATTGACACTTGCAAATGGTTACCATTAGGATGTATTGACTCTGCGGCTTAGCGAGTATAATTCGCTTAAATCTTGTAGTACATCTACACTCGAAGATAAGAAAAAAAAATAGATACTAATTTAGTTTAGTTCCTTTTGTCCAGGTAGTGATTAGTTTTATTAGTTAACTTTGACCCCAAATATTCTTGCAGGCATTGTTTGACGAAGGACTTTGGAACAGGTAAATTTTGAAAAGCTTATTTCATTTACAGGTGTTTTGTGTTCCCCTTTTGCCGTGTATGTAGGAGAGTAAGTGAAGGACTAATTAATTTTAATCCGATTTGCTTTTGAAATTCCTCCTAAACAAGCCTATAAATTCAAATATGAAACTATACAAGTTTCATAAGTAAAGCACAAACTGGAAAATCATTTTTCTATAGTGTCCGCATGTAGGTAATCAAAACTAGTTTGGAGAAGGTATACGTGCCATTAGAAAACATTCTTGTAAAAACTACGTCATAAAAGTTGTACTTAAATGTACCTACCGCATCAAAAATAAGTCACGGGTAAAGAACTAACTTTATAATATTTGATCTCGCAGAATACGATTAATCTCTATTCTGTTAGACACCAAACCTGTTCTTGAGGATCGGGTAATTAAAACATACAAACTATACTAACTTGGTACAAACGCATTGTGATCATAGCCTACCGAGCTCAACTCACACCTGTGTGTGTGATCTGACACGTGTATTTTAGTGACATGCGTAATATCCTCAAGGTTAACTCAGTTTAAAAGAAAGACACCAAAAATACTTTAGCTTGACATAATAACGGAAATTCAAATCAAAACAAGGGCAATCTTACGTCAAATGATTAACTAACCACACCCTATATCTACGACGAACATGATTCAAAATTGTTTCTGAATGTTTGAAACTAAAAGCTTTTTCTTAAATTGATCTACATCCTCTAGGCTTAAATTAGTTAAAGCGCTAGCTTTAGTTTTCTAGATTTCTACTCTCACCACCATGGAAAGTGGTAGCAACAAGTATTATTTGATGTAAATGTGCAGTAATGAACATAATTGACGTGACTACATTGTTCTAATTAGGTAGATAAGCTCCGGCTGGAGGGTCGAGGAGTCCTCAGGCTAAAGTGGGCGTCGGTCACGGCGCGACAGCGGTGGGCCCGAAGATTTGTGATGAGTGAGTGAGGCGCGCGACCGGTGACAGCTGCCAGAAGCGAGCGCAGCCGCGCGCCTCAAACCTGTTCCGAGGCCCGAGCGCTACTCCCGTCCGGTGCACCCGCAATTTTTGTTATTCTCTGTCAATACGACTATAATATGCGTGCTAAAGCCGCTAAGTCGTATTGTGAAGCCAGACGAACTAACGGCACCTCTGTTATCTGGTCGTACATCGCTTTTTCAAATGGCTCGAGGATTACTAATACACTCAGGTAAGGACCGCTCTGGCTGGGAGCACGAAACTATGACGGAAATGGGCACGGCACGACAGTGAAATATGGAGATATACATTCTGTGCCAAGATTATAGAGCTGTTAGTCATACTCTTGTAAGATCATCGGTATACTTAAAACGATAAAGAAGTGAACATCTGAGAAATTTAATAAATAACCAATTAATTTATATCCACAAGAAACTCATCTCGAAAATTGAAGAGACATTTATTAGTCGTTTTTAAATGAAATTATAGGTGATTGAGGGGAAGACTGGGACACTGACCTTATGCTCGAGTGTGACCAATGCGGAACGTAGCAAATCTATACTCACTATTGTGTGAATCATTCTATCAATTTAAGTAAGTACCACAATCTTCAACTCCACGAATACACATATCGATGAGAGGTTCTATCAAATTAAATTAACGATGTCTTGTTGTGTGGCTGAATGCTGCAGTTCACGAAAGCACACACCAAAGAGGATACTTTTTCTAAAAACTAGTATATTGTGCCTCTTTTCATTCATTTTTTCTTTAACACCCTATTCCGTTAAACAGAGTAACCGTTGCTGCGAACCGTTAAAAATTTCAACCAAAATTTTAGATTGCAAAATGTTACGATTAATAATCAAAAAGCTCTGACGGTAATAAGCGACAGGATGGAACATTACGGACCTCTCCTCGCCCCCTGCGAGCGACGGAAATAACCCGAGCCACCTACGTCACGGACGCCCACGCGCCCGCTGGATCAAACCGAACCTTCGTGTCAACTGCTGATGTATTGATCAAATCACATCAGGGAAAATTTTATAAATCACAAATTGAAACGTATTGCACATGACGTTCAGTCCGAACCGCCTTCACGCACTTTGAATTCCATTTAAAATACGCACTCGTCTGAGCCTTAATTTTCTGAAACGATACATAGGCTGGGATGAACCATCTTACTTTAACAAACGTCAAATATCTGTCAAACTCCATACAAAAACACCGGTTATAGTTAAAGTCACGGTTAAAGTAAGGTGGTGCAACTCAACCTTACTTACTCCAAACTTCATTTAAAGTCCAGCCTAGATTCGATCGTTGAATTTTAATTCCATTCTTGAGCGTAAATGTCTTTCTTTTCAAAATATGACTTTTAAACCGTAATAGCCGCACAAAATCTGCTTCAAGCAAGATTTAGCTAAAGCTCTACATATCGATGATAAGACAAGATAGGGTTCAACCCTACCTATGTTTAATCCATCCCCCTCCAATTTTTTCAATCCTCCCTTTCAGGCGTTAATTTGATTAAAAAAAACAATTAAAATTATTACTAGATGAAGACGTTTTTATAGCTAAGTAACAACACTGGGATATCTAAAATGGGGGGTGGGTGAGAGAGACGGGAGGACACGTGGTCTCGGTACAGGAAGCAATCGTGTCGGAGAGCTCACACTTTTTGTTCTATTCAGACACTTTAGTGTCATCGCCCGTGTCGCGTTGGTGCCTTTCATTCAACTCTGCTTTCTTAGATTTAAAAAACATAGGACTAATTAACTCACAACAGCTGATTTTATTACGATTTTATAACCATATTGAAGTTATATTATTAAAAGTATGAATTATTATGAGATAATATACATTTCTGCTACACCGATAACGTCAAATGATTGTGTTATAAAAATAGCCGTTATTACTAGGCCAAAAAATTTGTTTGTTTAATGCTGTTTAATGTTATGCAGTGATCGTCACGTCACTCGTCATGATCTCTAGCTAGTCAACAATATTATCTAAAAAATGCTTTTGTGTTTGCTTGAATGCTTGTTAATTATGTTTGTGATAGATTAAATTAAAATTATGTCAATGATAAACAGTTGCCACCACTCTGCCACCAAATGTCATGAACTAACTTTTTATTCCATTCTATTTACCTACTGTTCACGAGGCATTATATCAAACGAAAATTCACGTGTGCGAAGTCACAGGAAAAAGGGGTCTTTAATATTTTAAACAAAACGCGAAACCTGTGAAACGAACGAAAAAGCTCCCCTCAAGTTCGAAAAGTTTGATTTCAATGCTTTTAAGCACTTTAATATTTTGTTAATATTGTTTGTTCTTAGTAGATTCTAAGTCTTCGCAGCCACAATATCGCCATTCGACTGAGGCTATTTTGGAAAAGGCATTATTAAAAGAATTGGCACCGATTGCGTGCCAGTATTCGACAATGAACCCTAAAAATGGAACCCTTTGTCGTGTGGCTCACGGGTTTTAAGCCATCCGAAAGCCGTCCCGATTTCACATCTTCAAACTTTACTAAAAATGTTTAATGGCACATCAGGGTCAATACGGTTCACTTATTCAGTTGTAGTGGGGGTGATTTTGCAACAATAAGTTTATCAATAATAAAATTAAAATAAAAAAATAACTTATGGGATTTATTAAGTCACCAAGGTACTCTACCTCAAACCTGGTAGGTTTAGAATACCATTGTTTCTATGTATACAGAATCTTATCAAATTATTTTGAACATTCTTATCACCTGATACGGTTATATCATTGCAGCGTAATTGCTCGTATCAGCTCTAACGCAGTACGTCCTAGTATAATGCCTTGTTTACAAGGGCACAGTTATAATAAAATTAAACATGTGGTTTTGGACACGTATTGTTCGCGAAATATGCGGCTTGTATCAGAGTCGCACGTGTTGTGCTAATATCTGGAGCCAGTAGACATGTTTTTGAAGCTCATGATTGCTCACTATGCTAATACATACTCACTAACACGTTTTAATAATAATATACTTTGATATAGAAACGGCGTTGCGTCAACGTAATATTTTAACAGCTACGAATTTATGGCAATCTCAATATTAGCACACTCAAAATTCAATGCTATGTACTTATTTATTTTAAAGAAACTTTTCGTCTTTGTAGAGTATGGTAGTCCTATTTCTCAGTTTAATTTATAAAGTAGCTGTAAGATAACATAATACAAATCTATTGATTTAATAATTAAGAGAACTTTGTACCGAGTATTAAAACACGGTATTCCGTTTTTACGTACAATTATCTACATCTACCCACATATTATTGAGCAATTAACTCAATTTTTAGATGTCGTAGCTTGTGAGTACGTATAAAAGACTATATTAAATTATTATGTGGGTGCAAAGGTTGTCTGGTTTAGTGGTTCGCGCTTCAACTACAAAACCAGTGTGGCCGCGAGTTCAAATTCCAAAAGAAGTTAACGTTATCCACGAAGGCGAAAACATAAGCAGCTCGTCAAATAGTTTACAAGTGTATTATAGGCTTCTTATGTTACATTATTTTCTCAATGTATATAGAAGTGGCTCTCGCCTATGCTTGTTCAGGCAAGCGCTCTAAGACAAACCAGATGAGTCTACAATGTAACTCGAATGCATTCTGCGGTAGTAGCGCTTCGTACCAGACAGCATTCCCTTCGGTAAGTACTATAAACCCTCGAGTCGAATGTCTTATTATGGCATTACTCTATCTCCAGCCAGTCGCAGTGCTAGAGAAAGACAGCGCAAAGCGGCAACGCGCGGCGAAGTCGAAACCCTTCGCGATAACCCGCCAGTGGGCGGCAGCGCGCGCACGCCGCGCCCGGTCGATACTCCACCAGACTCCCATGTTTTTTATGTCCTTTCGCGTCACGAATTACCCAATAAAGAAGACTTCCAATTACTAAACGCAATTCACCCACCACACTTCATGATGTGCCAAACAACCAATGATTTACCTTTTGATCATTATCTATCACGTACAAAGTACATATTCCGGCGAATGCGGCAAATGTGTCAATAGGAAACGAAACGCGGTAGGCACTTTTATGAATTCATAATTTTGGCGGGAAACTACTGCAAAGTTTTAACTTAAGTGCAAAGGTCGTCATATTTTATGCTAGAACTACAGCACATTCATGATCGTTTAAGTATGATTATGTAGAGATTGTTCGAATAGTATGTTTAATGAAACGTAACTTTTAGTTCATTTTCAATAAATGTATTACATATTTCTGTTAGCAGTTCATTAATGCAATCTTTGATAGAATTTGCTCCGATAAATACCCATAACCACTTCAATCGAATTTTCTCACATACGCTTCGTGTTTGATTTGTATCTCCGCGAAAACTTTCCTACAGGATGGACCGCCCCCGGGTTGAGATTAGCCACACGAGAGACACAAATAACAATAATATAATGACATAATGGTATTTCTTGCCTCGCTCCTAAGTAGCTAGGGGAGGAGACAAAACAATTCAAATAAGGAAAACATGAATAACTAACCTGTAGATTGTGATGTGGTTGAGTGAGGTGTAACTGCTGCTGCTGCGACATGTGTAAGTGGTCGATGGGCGGCGGCGCGGCTCGCGGGCGGTAGGCGCCGTAGCCGCGGTAGCGCGCCCAGTCGCCGCCCGCCGCCTGCTGGTGCTGCTCCGCCATGTGCTTCAGCGTCTGCGCCGCCGGCGACATCTCCCCGCCGCCGTACGGCCGCGGCGCCGGCTCGCCCTCGGGCGGCTCCAGCCCCATGCCGCCGCCGTTCATCTTGCCCCCGTCGAGGTCGAAGTCCTTCATGAACTCCGAGTAGCCGGAGATCTCGGTGATGAGGTCCTCGAAGGTGTCGTCGCCGTCGTCCTCGCCGATGAGGTCGGCCAGCCCCGGGAACGCGGAGGCGGCGTCCCGCTCGAGCGCCGCGGCGCACTCGTCCAGCCCCACGAACTCGTCGTCGGCCACCTCCGACTTGCACTCGGCCTTGCACTCGCGCTCGCAGTCGAGCGGCGTGGGCGCGCGCGGCGGCGGCTGCTGCGGCGGCGGCGAGTTGGAGGTCTTGACCGCGTTGGCGAGCGCCTTCACGGTGACGTTGGTGGAGATCTGCTGCGGCTGCGAGTCGGCCGCCGAGGTGGTGAACTCCAACTGCTGCACTATTTCCACCGAGAACTTGGTGAGCGCTTCGCCCGAGCCGGCACCGCCGCTGCATTGCAATTTCGCTGGGGGTTCGTAATCGCCGCATCCAAATTTTTGTTGCTGTAACAAAACAAATTCATTTAAAAAATAATATTGACGATAGGTAGAAACGACGAAAATATTTCCACCCAAGGGAGAATTTCTGTACGCCATTTTCTTTATAAAATATGATTATGATTACGAAATGTTGTTTCAATCTTCTACTTCCAGACTAGTAATCGTAACTTGAACAGGTGGACCAAACTTTTATCTGAAACATTTAATTGCTTTATTTTCAAGTTAAGCTCTCCTCGTCGTTAGTCCTGTCTAGGATCTTACTTTTTAGGAATAATAATATAAGGATTAAAAAAGGTTTTAAGAAATCCACTTAAATACTAGCTGTAGCTCTACTCTTTTTCAAAATCCATTGAGATGCTAGGAGTAGAAACTATAGTAGAAACTTCTAAGAAACACCATACAATAGAGCAATGTTTGTCGACTTGTGGTACATAATAGTCGTAGTTATGACCAGACCTTGGTAAATGATTTAATCACGTGTATCACGTGTTTGTTTCACCTACGACATGCACGTGTAGAGTTTGTAATACTCTAGGTAATCTCTATTAAGTCATGATTAAATGACAAACTCCCACAATGGCTTATTAAAAATCTGTCCGGGACCCGTTAGACAGAGGAAAGAAAAAGAATAACAATAATATATCGATCGAAGTTCAGGATTCGAAAACAACAAAACCATGGTCGCGACCCAATAGCCATTGTTTCTATTCAAATACGTACCGATATAACTTAGAAATAATGCGGACGGCAAGTTTAGTTGTTTTTGATCGTTTTACATTAGAATAATCAGTGTACGCATACATTAAAATGTGTTAATTAATCGGATAGCGTTTGACCGTCAACTGCAAGCAATTAGCACAAAGTTAACGATAATTCTATTTAGTTTAGCTGTCGTCTACACAAGCAATCACGCGTCCGTCGTGTCGTAATTACATGATTTCGATAGCGTCACATCAAGACAATGATATGAGTACCTTCTTAATTTTTACAGAGCTATCGAAGTCAGAAGTATTGCTGTTTAGAATTATTCAAACCGTTGCATTGTGTGAAACAAATATGTAATACATAATGACGCGTGAGATAATTCTTAACCACTGATAGTTTTTCACTTCAAAATCGACATCAGTCAGGTATTCTGTGCTAGATTTATGGTTAGGTATAGTGAATAGCTATAAAATGTGTCAGAAAACAGCGCAGCCACTCGGAGGTCGTCTCGGTGAGCGGCGCGAGACAATGCGAGGCGTTTGTTGAGAAACTTGCGCAGTTTGCACAACCGCAGCCGCCCTATCGCCGCACCGTCCACTCCGGCCTCCGCTCTTGCCCCTGCGCTCTATCTGAAGGCTATGGACCTTCGGATCCTAACAACCGATGCCTACTCATTACTCATTATTAACAAAAGATGTACCTACGCAATGAAGAGAGCGGCTTTACAATCCTCAACTAAGAGAATATGTATAGGCGATATGGATCGTCACAAATTTACAAATAGACGCAATATTATGGAATCTAGTTTTTTTCCTCTGTTGTGTAGCGTAGGCTACTAAAACTCTGGATGCAACTCCGGTGTCAGGCTTAATCCCAACTAATATTATAAATGCGAAAGTAACTCTGTCTGTCTGTCTGTCTGTTACGCTTTCCCGCTTAAACCTCGCAACCGATTTTGATGAAATTTGGCATAGAGATAGTTTGAGTCCCGGGAAAGAACATAGGATAGTTTTTATCCCGGTTTTTGAAACAGGGACGCGCGCGATAAAGTTTTTGTGACAGACAAAATTCCACGCGGGCGAAGCCGCGGGCGGAAAGCCAGTACATTATAATAGACAGGTCTGGCATAGCACCACCGCATCCACGCAGCTAACTAACAGTCTCTCAAATTAACTAGATTGTATTTTTATTTGACGATCAGGTTAATTCAAATCGGTCTTGAATTAACCTGATCTGATCACTGATCAATCAAACAATTGTAATTACTATAATATCTCATTTTGCAAGTCTACTTTTCCTTAATTGCTCTACACTGCCCATGTTGCTCTACATATTGTATTGTCATGTCAATCGTTTATGTTATTGACGCTGCCCGAGCCTCACAAGCGACAGGTTTCTATATTAGTATGTTGTTTTCTGTTTAATGTGCCTCTCGTCATCGTTATTTATCGCTAAAAATCTACGTAGCCATCCACGTCACAAACTAGATTTGGTTTGCGCATCTAATTGTCTAATGAATATTAACATCAAAGTTGTAAATGGAGGTGTTTAGTTTACAATTGTTAGTTATGTGTTATAACATAATTAAAGATGAATTGTTGTGTCGCGTGCGTGCTGAGTAATCTGTATCGGGCATGAGGCACGGGATGCCGATGCCAGGGGGTCAAGTCAATTGACGTCGAGTGACATCCGGTGCTGTGAACGCGTACGCACCACGTGTAGCTATACCCAATTATCTTTACTTTAATTGTCTCTATCTCCATGTTGTGTGCCTCACAAGGTGTTGCGTAAGAGGCGCCAACATACGTATACTTTTTAATGCCATATGCTACATGCACCGAAGCACGTTGACAATCACAATTTGGATGATGTAAGACAGAATTGTTTAATTATACTTTTAAAATTGAACGTGCATTGGCGAATGTTAGGACACCAAGACGAATCCATGAATCTTTGATACAGCGATTTACAAATTACCTACATGAATGTTAACACATAAATACACGCCACTGTGTTAGAAACTTGTGAATTGTGAAGACTTGTCGTCAACATTATTATTTAGGTAGGTAAGTGATGATTATAAAATCAACTCCTTACTTTGTTATGCGCTGTGAGAGGCTCTATTGTAAACATTCATGAAATGCAATACACATTTTTACTTTGACTAATATGATGGGCACTGCGATTGCACTAATATTGCAGTATTTGCAGTGATTGCTTTGGATTGGAAGTGTTACTTGTGTTATCTGTAAAATAACGTCTCTATCTTTATTTTAATTAGATCATTTTTGAACCTATACGGTTAAAAATAAATTAACTTGGCATAATTGAGATGCAACATGCAACGTCAATTAATAATCTACACTAATATTATAAAGAGGAAAACTTTGTTTGTTTGTTTGGTTGTAATAAATAGGCTCAAAAACTACTGGACCGTTTATAAAAATTCTTTCACCATTCGAAAGCTACATAATCCACGAGTAACATAGGCTAAATTTTATTTTTGAAAAAAATAGGGTTCCGTAAAATTTGTAGATAATGTAGTCCACGCACGCGAAGCCGCGGGCGAAAAGCTAGTAGTATTGATAAAATAGTAAGTAACCATTGCCTAAATGCATGTTAGGCATACAGGATCCTAAAAGTAGAATCGGAAAATGTTTCCCAAGACGAGCAGGCGAAGGTCGCCACAGCGCGGTGTTTGATCAATGCACGCGCGACAACGCCGCCTGTAGCTGTACCCAGCACTTTCTGCTCTATCTGCCGCGGCTTTGCAACTCTACGTGCACATAAATTCACTTTCACCTTCTACGGACAAGGCAATTCTATTCGAGCGTTATGTAAAAGAAATAGCGGCTCTGTGTACCCACTTCTACAATATTTTAATATTAACTTTAATAATACTATAATCGGTATCATTTTGTTTGTCAAACCGTCTCACTCTACCTGAGTAATATAATAATACACAAAAAATACATATTAAGCTAAATAAACTACTGCAAACTTGTGATTTTGACTAGTGTTTTAGACAGATTAGCATAATATAAATGAGACGTACAGCATACAGTCGACTATCATGTTACAAATGTATAAGATACCTCAATGTTTAGCTCGATGAGCCGTCGTTTCTATGCACAGGTGTCGTACTTGTAGGGTAAGTTCCGATAGCCATTACGAACACTTCTCAGTGCTCCATACCCACCAGTAAGAGCACTAAGCAGTAATCACAGTGCTATATCGGAACATACACGTAGTAGACTGGCCCACGGTGGCCAAGGACTTAAAGCCATGCGCGTATTTACTATTTAGAGGGGGGCTAAACACGGGCCGTGCCCACCCCAGAATGGTCTCCCTAGATATGCCAATGCTCGCTATACTTAGAGCTTGTCCAAACAATAATGTTTCCACAACCCAGAACAGACTGGCGGCGTAGAACGAGGAGAGCAGACCCTAAATAATTGGAAATGGCTAGGACAATGAAGAAGACACGTAATAGATACTTACTTAAATTATACTGTTATTTAATTTGGGCAAGACAAATTGCTAATAATCTTTAAAAAAAAAAACTGTCGTTGAGTAGTGAAAACCTCGTTTGTAGTACCATCTATTATGTTCAATGAAAACCTCGTAAAAATATTAAGAAGACTGTTTTTTGTCTCTCCTAAAAAAAATTGTTTTTGGTACTCCCGAGGTTTGCATTCGTCAACGACGCTATGGTAGTAGACTGGTGGTGCTTACCACATGCACGCTGCTATGCACGCCGCTGATGGCCGGCAGGTCGGGCTTGCGGTCGCTTTTCTTGGCCTGCCGCTTGGCCTTCCCCTCGAGGTACCGCTTCTGCAGGGCGCTGGTCTCCAAGTTCTGCTGCTCACAGGCGCCGCTGAACGACTGGTCGAACCGCGGCACGCACTCGGATTGTCGACGACGGTACGTCTCTATTCTCCGGCTGCAACAACAACTACACGTTACTATGCAAATACAACTAATAATTAAATGAAGACAACTTGTGCTCAAACAAACAAATGTGTTTTTTTTTTCATTTTAATAAGCAGACAGCATTCAACTATCAAACAAAAACTCTCTCAATGGGTAGTTTAGGAGGTGCGTAAACTTATCTCTTCATTCATAAAGAACAGGAGGAGAATCTCAATTTAGTTTAGCGTTATCTGTGGTTCAGCGGAATGGCCACAATTGATTTAAACGAGTAATACAGTGTGTGATGTTGGTGAAGAGTTACTTTGCAAGTTTGCAGATTATAATTAATTCAAGCACGTTACCAGACTACTTGTATCTAAATGTAGTAAAACCAATCATTCGTTTTCTTTTAGCCATAGTTAAGAACTGTCATTTTCAGTATGTTAAGTTGTTGAAATAAAAGGATAACCCAACCGTTCTTTCAGTGTTGGTATAAGTAAAATGAATTCATAGCTCTACCATAGTTATAATGGATGGAAAGCCTTTGTCCAGCTGTGGACCGGTGGACGTCATTTGGATGATACGAACGAACTCTACATATCTAGCTAGGAAACTTATTCCTAGATGTAGAAAATGGAAACAAAAGTCTTCATTCTCATCTCAGACACAAAACAACTTGAAAACAACCTTATACATATTTTAATAAAATGGTGGGTTAATCTCAAAAGCGAATCTCTTGATCACCCAATATTTTAAAGTGAATCCAAATAAACGGTTTAAGTACTCGTAACAACAGTATTTCAAACGATGCTCAGTCAGCCGCAACTCCGAGTGCGGTCACCTTGAGCAAATGTTAATGCGGACACTCCGTCTGCTAAATAAAAAAATCGTTACTAGCAGCTCATTCCCTGTGAAAACGCAAGGTCACATTGTCAACTCAGACTAAACACTAACCGCCTATTCCTGCGCCAATAACCTATTCGCAAATGACATGTCAAACCAATGTCATATACCTACCTACCTAAGCTAAGATGCAATGGTTACTTACAGCAATATAGACTTAAGAATAAGCAGCTTTATTTACATTCAATGTAGGTATGCCTACAGTATAATGTATTTTTAACTCAGTAATAAGTATTGTTTAAAAATAAGGAGGCCTTTGCCAAAAAAGGCACACAGACAAGTGTCAATTAGAATAATATTAAACTCAATCAATTTTAAACTCTGTATGTCTGAATAAAGGCTTATATTATTATTATTATTAATAAGTATTGTTACAATTTCTGTAAAAGCTGATTTCTCAATTTGAATTAATTAAGTAATTTCGTGCTGTACAAGTGCAAAGACCAAGTAGGACAACAATGTTCATATGGAAACACCATTTTATTGCATTTGTACATACTACACATACACAACAAGAACATATTACCTGCAGTAGTACTTAGGTAATCGATTCGATGTGCTATGTAACTTGTTATATAACGTTACCGACAATAAGTAGTAAGTATAAAATCATAGTGAACCTACGTCACTCGCTATTTCAATATTATATTTTATGTACTTAGCGCATAGGNTTTAATAGTCTTCTTAGCTCGTATAAACCTACAAAAATTCTGAAAATATTATAAGCATCATTGCAGGTGAGAAAGAACAAATAAGAACGAATAGGTCGCTAACCAGATAAGGGATGAAAAGACAAAATTAGGGTTGAGAATCAAAGAAAACTTTCATTTATGTAGACGTGTGTTTTATACTTTCCCAGAAAACAATGCAGTAATGGTGTAAATAAATATGCAATAATTATGCGTCTATCACTTGCACAGCCACTATCCGACGAAACTAATTATGAACGAATAACCCGCCCTAGCCTCTGCTTGCTGCATAAGTGCATACTTTCTCTGTAGGCAAGTTGGTATGTTTTAGTGCTGCAATGCAACTATGATTTATTTTTTTACTTGCTTATGTTCGCGGTTTTGCTTGCGTAGGATTTCTTGCCTAAATAGCGTGCGCATCTCCGATTAAAACACTTTGTTTATAACCAAACTAAAGTAGGATTAATATTTATTTGTGTCGCGATCTTGAGAAATTATGGTGATCCATTGCATAGATATTTTTCCCTGTTTCATGTATTTAGCTATAATACAAAAAAAAATTGATTCAGCTGTTTAGGCGTCAAAACTCAATAGACAAGGAGTTACTTCACATTAGTATTTGATTTTTTTTTTATATTAACTCTATGTATTTATCTGTAGCAACTATAGCGCGCTATGGCTGCTTCTTATCTCTATCGACGCTATCGTATCGTTACATTACGTAGCAATGTAAATGACCTGCGACCAAGATTCACCATAAACATCCATAAGGCTACTATCAAACCAAAATGCTAAGTTTCTTGTAGCATCGGAGCTGTAATAGACTCTATTTTGGAACTAAAATATTATTCTGGTATGCTGTCCAGTGTCGACTCTACTTAGGTGTAAAGTACCTATTATATTTTATGGTACATAATAGGAAGTTAGATGTATGTTATTATTAACACAATACGTCACAACTCGCGTTATAGATAAAGTTGAAGGTGATTACATCTTATCGGTTTTCTTGCGAATTCCGATCATGTAAATATTATATTTGTATTGTTTGTAGCGGACTAAATAACCTTCAATATAAAGAAACTAAGAACTAATAAAAATATTCTATCTACCTACAGGGTTTATTAATAATGCGACGTATTGAAGTAAATCCTTTGAAAATGGTAATGTAATTGTTAATGGTTGACTAGGTGCACTCAAATTAAAACATTTCGGATTTATACGTTTTCAGGTGCCTCCTACACATTTACTTGCTTTTGACGAACGACTGTAGGTATGATTTTCTAATCAACGAAGAGTCAATATTGGACTAAAGCAGCTTTATCACTAGGCAGTTACGCACATAACTTAGGACGAAGGCATTTGCGCATTGACCTCTATTCGGTCTCGAAAAGTAAATTGCAGTTTTTCCTTAAATTCACTACTAGTGTCCGACCGAATGTTCGGTTTCGGTTTCGTTTTCGGTTGAGTTTCGGTAAAAACACGAGTTTCGGTTTAGTTTCGTTTTCGGCGGCAAACTTGCCGAAACTACGACCGAAACCGAATGTGCATTCGGGAGTTTCCGCGCTGTTATCGGTCATGTTCGGCGCAGATGATTCGCTCGCTTGTTTGTTTGCTGTTAGTTTTGTTTTGTTGTAGTGGCGAGTTTTGGAGTGATTTATTTTGAATTAGGTAAGTTTTATCTCGTTTTATGTCCTTATAACATAAGAGCGGGTAGTAAACATAAAAAATCAAGTTTAATCTAACCTATAAATTTTTTTTGGTTTGCAAATGCTATACGTAAACAAACATTAGTTAGGTAGTTAGTAATGACTATAGTGCATTTCATGGTGATAATATTATGGATTCAGAGTTTCAAAGTTCATTTTAGCACAGATAATATAATACTATTTTAGTATTAATCACCAAGGTATCCAAGTGGCAAGTACAGTAAGATAGTAGATACTAACTTACGTACAACCAATTTTGTTTTGAGAAATTATTAAGGTCAGACCATGGGACGGGTTATGTAGATGTCCTGAATATTGCGAGTAATTTAAAAAAATCTAGACTATAAATCCATTTTTTTCTTTTTTAGCGTAAAAAGGCGCTTTATAAGTTCAATTTTAATGCAATTTAAAGAGAAAATAATAAAGACTGACTGATTATAATAACATTTTCTTTATTTTTACCACCATTACTATACCCACTCAAAATATGAGCCTTGTAAGGAAGTTTCGGTTTCGGTTTCGGTTTCGGCCGAAATAGACACTGTTGCCGAAATTCGTTTTCGGTTTCGATTTCGGTCATAAAACTAGTTTCGGTCGGACACTATTCACTACACCTGCGATGGTTAAAAAATATTTACCCAGGTTTCATAAAAAACGAACTGCAAAGCAAGCGGTCGCGTATTCGATTGGCACAAGTGGCAAATATGTTTGTGTAATGATTGATAAGCCTGATAGGCTGTACCTGAGTCATAGAGCGTGATCTGTTATCTACAGACCATAGTACATCTCTACTTAGTTTAAAAACACGAATTTCATATTCCCGTCGTTAAAATTAAAAAAAAATTAAGGTCGGGTAATGTTGGTAACAAATATTTATGAAAGGAATAGATACTTCGTAGGTGTTACATTTAGTTCATTGACCAACGGCGCTGCTTGTCACCACGTTACGTTACACAAACAACGACTTAGATAAGAAAGACCCGATTGTATGTCACTGACACTGGTACGACCCCTACCAACTTCCAAGCTCTAGTTCCTCATCAAGCAAAAAAAGTTATATAATTGAAAGTCATGTTTATTTCGCCAATTTTATCTAGGTAGGTAATTAAATCTAAGTTAATAAAAAAATAACAAATGCGGTTAAATACGAAGCTACCGAAATGCACTGTTCACAATGTAAGTGCACCGTGGTTTGCATCCAGCGAAATTATCGGAGGCTTAGCGTATGTCGGCGCTTAGAGTAACGGTACCCAAAGGCCAGTTGGCGGTGCATAAACGTTCGGCTCTGTTATTTCCATTGCAACTAGCTCTTCCTTAGTCGCATTATCGCATATCGGTCATTTGTAAGAACATTGACAAAAATGAATGTTTTCCCAAATGGATCAAGATTTATACAGCAGTCAGCACTAGCTTTTGCCCGCGGCTTCACCCGCGTGAAATTTAGTTTGTCACAGATCGTCATAAATTATAGCCTAAATGTTATTCCGGGTTATAAAGAACAATACTATAAAGTTTCATCAAAATCAGTTCAGTAGTTTTTGCGTGAAAGATTAACAAACATCCATCCAGACATCCAAACTTTCGCATTTTTAATATTAGTAGGAAGTTGCTGATAAATATGTACCTAATTTTATTACTTTATCAAGCTTGTTACTAAGTTGCCTACCTAAGTGCCTACCTAATTAAAATATTTTCGCTATGTTGATGATCATCTGCGGAAGAGTCTTGCTTGCGGTAGGTTTAAATATATTATTATGTAATTCTAGCGGTAGGTTTAAATATATTATTATGTAATTATTATGTAAATCTAAGGCCTTGGGGACATAAATTAACAAAAAAAAAGAGAAACAATACCTGCATGGTGGAAGCCTGACTAGCGATCGATATTATGGCGGCTTGAGCAGAGGCCGATCCCTCGCCTCGTGTTAATGGAAATATTCGCAGGGATACACCCTCACCCTGTTTGTTGCCTACATACCTATCTAGATAGAACCTTGTACGCCATACGACGAACAATACTTTCCTTTTGTTAAATGCTTGTGCACTACAAAACAGGCATAGATTCAGTTCAGACATATGGAATTAATTTTCAGCAAACTGCTTGCAAAAAAAAGTATTATCATTTACATAGTATTACACATACGTTATGGATGGTATCATGTAAAGGCATTTTTGCTAATGAACTTTCAATAACTGTCGCACACTTGACAACAAAACTACATTATTTGTAACATAGTAACGATAACAGTGCGAAACAGACCTTCCCCCTTAGGGTGTCGACCGATGGACCTAGGATGAGGATCTACGCTTAGAGAATGCTGCGTTTTAGAAAACCACGCGGATGTGTGGAACCTTTGTTGATAATGCTGAAAGGATGTAGGCGAGTAGTAGGTATAATGAATGAATGACAGATATCTTTATGAAAAAACACGCATCTTCGTGTTTACATTATATTTCGTACACGATTCGAGGCAAGAGGCGGTTATTTCTCTAACTAACTAATAATGCTGGGTTAGCAAAAACGGCACGATAAAATCTTTCCGTGGCATTAGATTTTTATTTTTATTTTAGACAAATTAATTAGGTAGGCTTATGGTTTGAAAACAATAAAATGACACAATACGGCTGATCTAATGTGCGACTGCCCTAACCATTTCTGTGCCTGCGTTAGTGACGGCTCCTTGCTGCATCATTTCGAAACGTTCCTTTTAGTCCTCTGAATCTGAGCAGCAGGGCTACTCTGTAACGCTGTTTACGTAATTTCGGGTCTATCTGTCACCGTCGCTGATGCTGGCATCTAGCTTTTCGTGAGAGGGATAGCAACATTTGAACCTTTGGATAGTTAACGTTTTTCGGAGTAACCCCGCTGATGTCACTGATGTTTCTCCCGCTACGCTATCAGCTTGGTTTAAGTTTAATCTCGGAGGTGACTTCACTCACTCGATTATGAAGGACCTAGAGGATATCTGATGTCCTCATTTTCGACATCCGGAGTCCTCATTAGGAATAATTAAGGAGGTAGCCGACTTCCTCTTTAATTGCAGATGGATTCCATCTGCGACAACGACGTCTGCGACGATCTTCGGTGACCGCGCTATGGTGGCGTACGTGACCATGTGTGATCGGAAATTATTTCCTACATTACTTCACTTATTCTATACTAAGACGTCTCTTTCTTTCTACCATTCATGGCATCAGTCGCCAAGAACGCTCGCTCGCGCGCACGGGTGACTTTTTTGAAGTCTCCATGGAGATGTATGGCGTTGCGCGCACGTAGCGACGTGACAGTGACAAACGTTTTTACATTTTCCATACATCTTTAAGGTACAAAAAAGTTACGGCGACAAAAGTCACCAGTGCACGCGAGTTCTTACAGCAACTTTTGTCAAATTTTGTTAGCGCTCGCGCGCACAGGTGACTTGTCGCCGAGACTGTTTCGTCAATTAATACCAAGTCCATGGTGGTGACAAAAAAGTCACGGCGACAAGTCACCCGTGCGCGCGAGCCCTTATTGAATCTAGGGAATAAACTAATTATGTACCCACTATGCATTTAGCATTAAGTTGTGAACCATAGGATCATCACAATTTTACCAGAATAAAGCCTGGTCCGCGAGCACGTAGAATTTTGTCCAATGACCCCAAGCTACCCATCCTTATCGCTCGCGCGTAATTATGTTGCTGTCGCGCTCGCACACTCACTACGGGCGCCCGTCGCACAGTCGCGACAGCAATATATTTACGCGCGAGCGATAAGGATGGGTAGCTTGGGGTCATTGGACAAAATTCTACATGCTCTCGGACCAGGCTTTAGAGAAAAACATTTTTCATTGGTTTTGAACCTTATGGTATCTCAATAAAGTACAAAATACGGTGCCATCAGTTCTGTTTCTACCAGATAAACAGTTAGAGTTACCTAAACCTTAATTATATTCAGTCTTATTCATAAAAAGTTGAAATAGGTTTAAGAGACTGATGACATGATAATGACACAGGAAGTCTATCTTGAAAGAGGCAGATTTTCTTCTAGTCTATAGCTAAATAATTTATAACTAAGAGGTATAGTTTCAGTCTTCTCACTCACTCAAGTCTTATAAGTAATCCCCTTAAAATTAAAAAAATAACAGAACCTATTTCATTCACTAAATATTTCCAGTTAATAGAAGCTAATCTAAGGCAGAGACGACCTCTAAAGCCTGTTTCAAAGAACTGATTGACTTTCTTCTATTCTTGAAATTCAAAAATCTTTGATAATTTTATGATTGCACTACCTGACCTGTTGAACTTCATATTGCCTATGTTCATCCATACTAATATTATAAATGCGAAAGCACGGTAATACTATCTATACAGTATTCCAACTCGGCCATATTTTTGAAATAAATGTCAACAGCCGCGCGGTACGTCACCATATGACAACATGCGATAGGGCTGCCCACCTGCAGACCCTATTATCACTACATCTGCCTACTTAGAATTTCTATCTAGTTCGGTGAATGTATTTTGTGATTGTAATTTTTAATTTTATTATGACAAACAAAATACTTTGTGAATGAAATAAGATAAAAATGCATGTTGTCTTGTCATTAGCAGATTTAACTAAAAAAAAATATTTGTGTTAAGAATTAGTAACAAATAACCGTAAAATGTATGCGACTGAGGCGTACAAAATGCTTGATTTATTATACAGGGGGTTAGGTAAATGGGTTTATAAGCAGACACTAGCCCATGTTAACGTGTCCATATAAATGGTATGGTGAAGGCAGAAAATTGATATCAGCATTTTAATAATTTTAATTTTCATACAAATCTTAATAAATAAATTGTATTTTGTATGACAATTAAAAAAAATATGATATCACCGACTACACCATACCATTTACATACAATGTTAACATGGGCTAGTGTCGGCTTATAAGCCCATTTACCTAACACCCTGTATAAATAGGTACTTGTAATTATTTTTTATAAAAAAAACACTTACTGTTTACAAAACAACACATCGTCAGTTTTTTACTGTGGCACATTTGCGACACCTACAATACTGTATGATAGTATTACCGTGGCGAAAGTAACTCTGTCTGTCTGTCTTGCTTTCACTCCTAAACCACTGAACCGATTTTGATTAAATTTGGCATAGAGATAGTTTGAGTCCCGGGAAAGGACATAGGATAGTTTTTATCCCGGTTTTTGAAACAGGGATGAGTTTTAAAAGTTTTTTTAAAGTTTTGCCTAATGATGACTTAACCGTTTGATATTGTTCCCATTTGTAAGATCATTGAAGGAATCATCCTGATGGTCGGAATAGAAAGTGTAGTGTCGATCAGTCAGAAAAGTCATGTAGAGCCATTTAAGATGCAAATAGTATAAAAAATCCCATAAAGCCACTAGAGCCAATTTCGACTGTCAAGACTTTTGTTTTGCAATTATGTATTCAGTTAACTAAATTTTCTAACTCTAGCTCTGTGGAAAATAGTAACAAGGGCCTAACTACATAGAATTTTGGGAAATAGGTTGTTACATCAGTTCTTAAAGGAAAATCTATATAAGAGCAACAGTTATTAAGCAGAACTGGTATCAGAAAGAGTGCAACACTCACCGCAGCCTGTCCACAACAGCCTGTCGTTTGGGGGGGAGGATCATCTCTTCCATGGGCTGCAGCATGTTGGGCGGATGCTGGGCGGGCGAGGCGCCGGGCAGCAGCCCGCCCGCGCCCGCGCCTCCCACCAGGTGCTCCACGGTGACTGCTTCGCCACTTCACGTCTGCTCCCTCATTCTGTCCCGCTCTACGCTCCACTCTAGTCCTCACCACTTCACCACTCGTCTACTCAAGTACTGCACCTCAAGTGAGACAAAAACACCATCAAAAAGTAACTATAACTCGTCCTGAATACCTTCACAATATTCATGTTGCCACTTAGTTTTGGTCACAATTCGCTTAGCGTTCACTAACACTAACTTGCAGCTTGATCAATGTACGATGAGCCGTACGTATAGTTTTGTGATTGTTATGAACAATAACGAAGAACGACTGAAATTGTTCAAATAAAAACACGTCAATGTTTTGCACAAGCTAAGTATGAAGTAATACACAAATTACACGAGTGAGTTTATCAGGAAGCATTTGATTGAACGGATTACAGATTCGCGTAGTGATTCTTCTACGCGATCTGATAAATTACACATAAAACTTCACTAAAAAACATTTTCAAAGTCCACAATACAACAGTGCAATACAGAATTTAACCCAAACAGAAATGTTCCACACTCAAACATCAACTGACTGACGGACGCTTTTTAGCTTTGGCTTGATGACACGGGTTTTGGGGAGATGTGACGCAAAGGAAGGGCAACAGACGAAACGAAATCCAGTTGCCAACAGTAAATTCCATAACTCCCGGGATAAATTATTATGATTTTATACTTTCTCAAACAAATTCTCAAAACTTGCACTCATCATTGTCTATTTTAATTAAAACCGGAATACTCACGTACTTACTTAAATACTTACTATAAGTATTATTTAAATTCAAATTCAAATTTCTTAATTTTCGTAATTCCAGGTAAAAAAATATAAAAGAAGAACAAATAAAGTATTCTTTTTTGTAGTTTCCTGAATTTACATTTTTTATTTTAATTTTATTGTAAAATAAAAAACAGTTATTAAGTTTTTTAACCAAACTAGGTATTTATTCAAAATGTATTAAGGCTGTTTTTTTAATAAGACTTAAATTATTGGTAAGAATGATAACTGTACTTACTTTCCTACTGTCATTCATCTTAATAACTAAAGATTAGACCAAAACTCTACCACACAACCAAAATTAAAAAAAAGTATTTTAACGATAAAGTTAGTTCTAAAACCTTGTGATGTCATAGAAAAAGACTGAATTCTAAATAAAAGTTAAGTAAAGCACCAAAATGGTATTTTGCTACTGGCTGAGTACAAAATTATGATGTACACACGGCCACACTGTTAACTATCCATTTCCTTTTTGCTCTCGCTCTCATCAAATGGTGATTCTTTGCGATAGAACGAGACGACATGACAGGCAATGGATAGTTAACACTGTTGCCGATGGTACATAAGCGAGTCTAAATATATTTGTTTTTCCACATTTCGTTAGTCATCATCTCTAACACATTTAAAATAAAATAGTAAATAAAACTACTTTACCGACGCATAGAAAAACATTAACCTCATGTCTGCAGTCGAGTAAATGAAGTCGTAAATTTTCTTCAATTTACCATTTTAATAAAGTTCCGTCATAGCTTGCAACACTGCTTTCGTTCGGAAAATAAAGCACGTTCAATTTCACAAATCGTTCAGAAATCGTAATTTCAAATTAATTTCATAGAGATGACTAAAGGAGAGAGCATAGCTAAATTGTCCTTCCGCTATTTATGGATCATAAAGTAGTCTTCACATAATCAAAATTTAACAATTTTTTTAGGAAAATTTGTTGAATGTTGACATATTTTTGTTGTTTGTGTAGGGCAAAACACGCGCTGGTGACCCGGTTTCACATTATCAATGATGATACCTTATCAAATTGATATGGTCCACTCCTTTATCTGACCCACTCGATGGAGTAGGTTCATTTAAAAAAAATGCCTTTGCCATAATAAAGAGGAAATCAAAAGAGAAAAAAAGTAAATTGTCAATGTCAAAAAACAAATGCAGAATTTTGTAAAATTGTGATAAAATCAAGAAAATAAATTCAAGAAAAATATTTCTTAGCCTGCTCTTGTAATATTTATTTTTATTTAATTAACCGCTCTTTTTTTATTAGGAGCGATGTTTGCACTTCGTGTAAAATTGCGGTTCTGTACAAATGTTAATAGGTTATGTTTTAATTCCTTCAAAAGTGGTAATATTTTAGCTGCAAGTAGCATTGCAGCAAGTAAAAGACATGGTAATTATGTAAATCTTCTTTGCTAGATGCATTTAATGTCACTATGAAAGAAACAGTTAATTTTATATCCCAAATATTTTTTTTTATAATGTTACATTTTATTGCTCTTGTTTTAATTTATAAACATCGTTACAGGATACAATCATTTTATAACACCTAAACCTTTCCAAAGACAGTTCAGCACAGCTACAGAGCAAGCAGAATCTCTGAAAGGAAATGCTGAAAAAAGAGAGTTTCAAGCTGAGACACGTATGCTGCTAGATATTGTTGCTAGATCTTTATATTCAGATAAAGAAGTAAGTACCGTTTGTTTTGCTGTTTTTCATAATAAAATCTACTTTCATCCAATAGCAGAACAAAAATAAACATTATTATTTTCTTCAGAGAAGTTGTACTTTGGAATCATTAGATAAAATGTTAGGTTATTTGTATTCATGTTGCAAATTGAAATATCCAACTTATTGCATTTACATATTAAAATAAAACTATTTCATAATAAATCATTAAAAAAAATCAATTTGGTTCTTGTTATTTACAGGTTTTTATCAGGGAACTGATCTCAAATGCCAGTGATGCACTGGAAAAATTCAGATACCTCTCAGTGAGTGGTGTGCAAGACTCCGGACAGTTGGTGGAGGTGGACAGGCCCCTTGAAATTCACTTGACCACCGACAAACAGAACAGAACTATAACATTCCAGGTAGATATTTATGACAATAATCTTTTAAACACCTGGTATGCATAATATTGTATCTCAATATTTTCGTGTTAATTTGTCTTTATTTTTAGGATTCTGGTATTGGCATGACTAAAGATGAACTTACCCAAAATTTGGGCACAATTGCTCGATCAGGTTCAAAGTCATTCATTGAAGAGATCAAGAAACAGGGAGCAGAACAGGCCAGTTCCATTATAGGACAATTTGGAGTGGGATTCTATTCAGCATTCATGGTGGCTGAAAAGATTGATGTATTTACAAGAAGTAGTCGAGCAGATTCAGTTGGATATAAGTGGACTTCAGATGGGTAAATCTTATTTGATGAACCAATAGTAACTGTACTCTACTAAATGTTAACTATACTATAACAATACTTTGGAACTGACTTTAATTTACATTTATTTATAGGTCTGGCATGTATGAGATTCAGGAAGCTGAAGGATTGCCTGTTGGTACAAAAATTATTGTACATTTAAAAACTGACTGCAGGGAATTTTCTGATGATGAAACTGTCAAGAGTAAGTAAATTCTTCTGCATACTTTTATTTCATTATTAATTATTTAGATTGTGTTGAACTTAAAAACATAAAGCATCCAAATTACATTAAAGTTATTTTTCAGGCATAATTAAAAAATACAGCAACTTCATTGGCAGCCCCATTTTCTTGAACAAGGAACAAGTCAATTCTATTAAGGTATGTGGATTCCAACTAATTAAGTTTTCCCACTGCTGGGCCATTAATCCCATTGATTTCAAGAATTTACCTACTTTTTTTTAACATATTTTCGTATTTCAGCCTCTATGGTTAATGGAGCCAAAAGAAGTAACACATGAGCAGCACTCTGAATTCTACAAATTCATTAGCAACTCATATGACAAGCCTCGTTTCACTCTGCATTACAAAACTGATGTCCCACTTAGCATTAGATCCATTCTGTATGTGCCAGAAGGAAAACCAGGATTGTTTGAACTATCCAGAGATTCTGATGTTGGAGTTGCATTGTATTCGAGAAAAATATTGATCAAAAGCAAGGCTGAAAATATTTTACCTAAGTGGCTAAGATTTGTTAAAGGTATTTTTTTTTTATAATTAACATTCTAATTTAATAATAGGAAATGAAATTATGTCAATTACTTTTTGATTCAATTTTAAATATGAATTTTAGGTGTTGTTGATTCCGAAGACATTCCACTCAACCTAAGTAGGGAGTTGCTGCAAAACAGTGCTTTAATTACGTAAGTAAATATAATACTTTAAGAAAACTGAAACAATTAGAATCATTAGGTACAATACTTACAACAATCTCTTAAAATTTCAGAAAGCTGAGAACTGTTTTGACAAACCGTTTCCTTAAATTCATGATAGACATGGCACAGAAAGATCCAGTGGGATATGATAGCTTTTATAAGGATTATTCTATATTTTTGAAAGAAGGAATTGTTACTAGTCAAAGTCCAATGGAAAAGGTAAGGCATATTATTTATTTACCTTTAGTAAATTACAGTAGGATGTGAAGTTTCATGAGCGTTTTATGTTTTAGGAGGAAATATCTAAGCTGCTTCGTTTCGAATCTTCGAAATTAGAGAATGGTTCCCGAACATCACTATTAGATTACAGTGCTCGCCAGAAGGACGACCAAAAATGCATTTACTACTTGGCAGCACCAAGGTAATACAAAAGGACTAACTAACTGGATTCTTGTCTAGCTATAACATATTCAATGTAACTGAGTCGCGGCATTTGAAAATACAAGGTGCTAGCAATTGTGCGATTCTTGAAGTGTAATGTTATTTTTTAATTTTAGCCGTGAATTGGCGCAGTCTTCGCCGTACTACGAATCTCTAAAAAAGAGAGACGTGGAAGTTCTTTTCTGCTATGAAATGTACGACGAGTTAGTACTTCTGGAACTCAAATCATTTGGCGGCAGGCAGTTGGTGTCTGTAGAAAATGATATGCAGAAAGAGGCGTCAGACAGTGAAGAGGCAGTCATAGGTACGTATATTTCTAATTTAAACAAATAAACTATGTACTATCCTATTTATCTTGCTCAGTGCCTTACTGAGATTATCTGGCCCAGTAGGCCTAAGATGCGCGCCGTGATAACTTTTATCGACGTCAAAATGTATGGCAAAAATCGATAAAATGGCGTGATAACCGCTTGTCGCGGTGCGTATCTTAGGCCTACAGGTATAGAGAAATAAAATAAACTATGTATGAGTATTGTTTCTTTATTTTCTTTCCTTGGCACTACTCACGCGTAATTAGGAATTTGTACTTAAAATTTAGCCATTTATCGTAAAAATGTATAAAACGTAATTTATTTCTGTTCACAGGCAGTGAGAGCTTACAAAAGTCGCAGGTGGATGAGCTTGTTACATTTTTGAAGTCCAATTTGGCCGGCAAAGTGTTCGAAGTGCGCACTACCCAACGCCTCGACTCACACCCCTGTGTGATCATTGTCCCTGAAATGGCGGCGGCGCGCCACTTCATCAGGACCCAAGCTCAAAGCCTCAGCGAAGAGAACAGATTTGCCCTTTTGAGGCCACAATTGGAAATAAATCCTAAGTAAGTGTTAAAAAAACATTTATTATGAAAAAGCGGCAGCCTATAAAAATCCTTAAATAAATTAACTTTTTGTTACTTATTTAGGTCAGTTTTCTTNCCAGCTATAAACATAATAAACCATGTAGTAATAAGTAGTATAAAGTTATTTTTCGCTATTGTAAGTCGAAAACACAGTTCAGGTCATTTCATTCTCAGTTTACTTACGACATTTTTCATTTGCAGGCACCCCATCATCAAGAAACTCCACAAACTAGTCTCCAGTGATAAAGAATTGGCTAATATGGTGGCGCAACAGTTATTCTCTAATGCAATGGTAACAGCCGGGCTCATTATGGATCCAAGAAATTTAATAACACATATAAATGATCTTCTGGTAAAAGCTTTGGAAAAGCATTAAATTGTTACATGAATCTATTGTTCAATAAAATTACTATTAGAAATAAATGTATTTTATTGTTTAAATAACCTTAGGTCACCTTTACACTTGTAAGTTTTACTCCGTAAGTAACTTACGTAAAATTAACATGCTACAAAGCATCCGGTGTATTCCACTTGAATCTGTCCTTAACCGAATAAAGGACTTTGATCCAGGTGATCAGTGAACTTCAAGCGACAATTTGGTGTCCTTTGATTATCACCCATGGATCAAAGTGGAATAGACCACAAAGTACTTTTAGACACAGATTAGAGAGTATGTCTACTTTTATAGTTCCAAAATACTGAGCCCCGATTACGGTAATTTTTAACGTCAACAATCCAGACACGCTTCTCTATTCTGCGATACGATTGGTCGTTCAACAGCGTACGTCAGCTGTTTTGACCAATCGTATCGCAGAATCAGAAACGCGTCTGGATTGTAGACGTTATAAAAGTTACCGTAATCGGGGCTCTGGATTGTCCTGTCGATGACATTGACAGTGGGGCGCCACTGTCAATACCGGATCGCTGGTTCAGATTTTTGCCATGTTGGAAACCATATAGTTGAACGATGGTAGCGCCCCCCTGTCATTGAGTTTGGTGGGACAGTTCAGCGTGGGTCATCTATAGACCTGGCGAGTTTGAAGATAATGGCGCCAACTGGTGAGGCAAATTTTATTAATTGGGTTTAACGCCATCTATTTGTTAAATGTTCGAAACAATTGTAGCGCCATCTATTTTTGAATAGCGGCGTAAGTTCATAGCTGCCAACATACTGTATGAAACTGACTTCCGGTTGTAATAGCCATAGAGCCCATAGACGAAACCATGCTTTTTTTAACGTCAGATTAATAATAACTCTCTAGTCTTTGGATGCGTGTGAAATCGACCGAAGCGGCAAGCTCCGTTGCGGTTTTTTTGGTGTTGTTCCCGGCATGTTCGCGCACAATTTTGTGTCATTCTTGTAAAACTCAATAAAAACCCTTTCATGGTAGCCAAGTTCACATAAAATTGGGATTTAAACAAGTAAGTGTACATTCCAGACACGTAATATTGTTGTAGTGCGACGTTGTTTTCGTGTAAAAGCAACTGGGAATCTGATAATTAATTTTTAATTTTGTTGTTTAGCCATGAGTACGATGGATATAAACAATTTGGAAGCCAAATTGGAAGGTGAAAATGATGAGAATAAGACTCCAGATAAACAACAAATAGAAGATGAAGAGAAGGAGGTAATGTTGAAGAGCGACGAAACTGAAGGGAATCCCGAAGTGAAAAGTGACAATGACGGCCCCGTGAAGACGGCCCTTTCGGGGGATATTACTGAACAAGGCCGGGAAGTGAAACCTAAATTCATTCCCATTGGCGCTATTAAAATGCCTGGGTTTTTCATGAAAAACTCGGATAAAGACAAATGCAAGGTAATGAATGGTCTTTGTCGATTTTTGCTCAAAATTGTCTATTGTGTTTGTTGTCATCTAATTAAATTTGAATTTCATCCAGCAGGATGAAGATGATATTGAAAAAATTGCTGACAATGAAAAAACTGAAGATGAAGCCCAATTTGTCAAGTATAGTCGTTTCGAACAGTTTTTACATGCCTGTCCCTTCACACAGTTTTTAAATAAACCTGATCATGGTAACTACAATATCATTATTTTATGTGCTTGATTCATTGATTTGACACAGCTTTATGATTACAAGACCTTACTGTAGATAGTATTTTAAGAAATATATTTCTTTTTAGATTCTGGGACGAAGTCCGAAATGTTTAGTATCAGGTATCCAAAGATATTCCGAAAATCTTCTAATAAACCAGAGGCTACACTTGCCTCAATGGAAACTTTAGAGGATAAACTGGACACACCAAATGATGGCATGGAGAATGTGAAGCTGGAAATGGTAAGTGAGCATTAGGAATAAACTATAGCATTGCAATTTGCATAATTTAAATTGTAACTTAATAGTAATTAATTTGTTAATGTAATTATTATCCACATCCGGCATCACATTATTATCGCATATCGCCTTTACCTGCTATCAAATTACAATTAAAATTATTATGATAATGGAAATAAATAAGGAAAATGTGTTATGTAGGTATTCAGTTTAGTTTTTAGGTACCTATTTCCTTATTACATGAGATATAAAACAAAATTATAAAAAGCTCTTCATTCCTATCACAATGGAAATTTTTAGTGGTAGGTTAATGTTGGACATTTATGAACAGCATTAATTTAATATATTTAAGCTAGGTACTTTTGAAACATTTTGTAGTTTTTATTAGACCTTTGGTTATATTAGTTTGTTTATGATTTATGAAATATTTTAAAATACATTTTATTAAGTTTTGTTCTTCTGTATCTTCCCACAATTGACCTTTAGAAAACCTTAAATAATTTTTTTTCCCCCTTAGGATACGGAAGAAGGAAAAGTGGCTACTAAGCTTCCCCTGAAGGAAAGGATACGGCAAAAGAAGTTCATAGTAGGTGAGTACATTTCCATGTGTTGCAACTGCATATCATACCAATACGAAAACTGTGAATTTAAAAAATGTTAAAAGGGTCATAATGTCATGTGGGTGAGAAAATAAAAATAAATAATAGGTATAATGAAATATTTAATGATAGTCAATTTCTATTGTTATGCACAATCAAAATAAAATAAATAGAAATATAATCCACTTTAGACAATAATAATATACTTCTTTATGAAAAGAATATGTATGTTTCGTGTTTTTCTTAGCCAACAAAAAGAAGCCTGCTGAATATGATACTTCAGGTAAAATCCTGATATTACACCTTTTTATTTAAACAATTCATCATAGCACATAATTTTTGCCTGGTGCTTGACTTATTTCTCAAAGACCGTGAACATTAATCTTCATGCTAACATATTTATTTTTAATTTATTGCATAATTGTAGCTGTTTGCAAAATTTATTTAAATCTAGATGTATCAGCACTGACTTTACAACTTAAGTCATTAATTTTGGACCCTAAAGACAGTCAACCTTGAGGTCTAGGTTTTTCTGTATCTGAATTCATTCATTAGCTGTATTTTTGTCCAAAGTAGAAGTTATTATTTTGATGCAGGCAGTACATAAAGAGATGAATCTTATCTAACAGAGCTTCCAACCTTTTGGGTTGTCTTTAAAGTTTACTGAATTTGTAATAACTGATTGACCAATGTCCTTTCAACTGTGTGATTAGAGAACGAAACATGGCCAACAAATTGAGCTGTGAAACTTTCAAAGTATTTTAATACAACACACTTTTGGAATAGACAATACTCTTTAGCTTCACTTTCCGCGGTGGCGACGCGTATTCGTCGTTACACGCTTGGAGTATTTAGGCCTTCAGACACGCGTGATGTTGTTTCTGGGTGGTTCTCATTGGTGTGGCATTGAGGCGGTAACCTTGAGGTTACGGTGTGATGAGAACTGCCCAGCTTTATCGTTGTGTCTGCACCATAAAGTTAACTTTAGGGTCCGTACCATAAATGGCAATGCCAGATTTTGTATGGAAGGTGGCGTCTTTTTTTTTTCGCGCGGCCATTGACCAAACTTTGTTTTTTGATTACAAAATAGTGTAATAAACCAAACTTACTGAACTGAGTTACGAGCATTAGAAGTTTGATGATTTTACATACTAGATTTGCTTTCTGCGCGCAAGTTTTGTAAGAAATTGCAACAAAGTAGTGACATTGTATGTGTAAACAAACAATATCATCCATTAAAGGTTCCAGCCATCAGTGTGGAGCAGAATCAGCGCAATAAAAAAAGACGTCACTATTTTACATACACGTTACACACACACATACATGTTATAGTAAGTTTGGTTTATTACACTACTAGCTGACCCGGCGAACTTTGTTCCGCCTTAATGGCAATAAATAAGCAGACTTTTTTTTTAATTTCGAACGGGATAAAAAGTATCCTATGTCCTTCTCCTGGCTCTAAACTACCTCCCTGACAATTTTCAGCTAAATCGGTTCAGCCGTTCTTGAGTTATAAGCGAAGTAACTAACACGACTTTCTTTTATATATATAGATTTTGTAACCAAAAAACGCGAAAAAAAAAGACGCCAATTTCCGGCATTGTCTTTTATCTTTATGGTCTGCACCAGGCCTAAAATGTAATATTTTCCAGACGACATAGTGGTGTGCGGACTAGCGCTGCTGGTGCTTCTGGCGGTGGTGGTGGGCGTTATAGTGGGCGCGCGCGCCGGCCCGCCCGCCGAGCGACCGCTGCGCCTCGGCCGCTATATCACCACGCTCACCTCCTGCGGACCCGTCGAAGGGTAAGCGTTGAACCAGGCCTGGCTCACTCCGCGCGGTACATCCGATAATTACCTACAGCGAAGCGCCCCGCCGGCGGGTATTATATCAGTCGAGTGTCACGCGCGCGCTCGTCAGGACGCTGGCGTGCGTTGTAGTATGATTATAATTCTATGATCGAAGTATTATTTAAAAATGGACATAAAGAGAAAGAAATATTGTGCGGCGTTCGGGTGTTTAAATTCGAAAAGTAATCTACCGGATTTATCTTTTTTTTTCGCTTCCCAAAGATGCTGAAAGGTATGTTGGCCATGTAGGTAATCAATAATTCTTAGGATAGTATAGGAACCTAACCTACTATGAAGGTTTTCCATAATGAATGCATACTTACCTACATACGTACCTCATTACAAATAAGTAGATTAATTATTTTTTCACTAGACAGCAACCCTAACAGCGTAAGAAGAGTTCAGAGGCACGCGATAGAAAGAGACAAAACTTGTAGGTGAATAAAATTGTAGGTACGTAGTGCTGTGCGAGCTGAATTCCACTGTATCGCGTCGTAGCAAGACTCGCATTTATTTAAATCGTCTTGCGGAGTAATCCTTCTGTACCTGTACTATTACTTATTCTGTGGTTGAACACAATGAGGGCTATAGTTTTTATACTTAACAGTTGGCACCCCTGGCGATTGACAGGAACTTACTCTACAGTGGCGCCATCTTGATCAGTGCAAATGAGATAGTCTC